AACATTCAGTGAAATTTTCATGTATCTATAGTTATTCGTTTATGAATAACAACAAAATAAGGAAATCGCTACATGAGAAATCGAGTGAACATCCAATGTTGTAAAAATTTGAATTTCAAACGCTGATAATAATTTAATTTGACTGTCGGTTAGAGATTTTTTTATTGATTAAGGTAGACAAACTTATGAGTAATCTTGTATTACATTTTCAAATCTTAGATTTAAAAAGAAAAATTTTTACGAATTCTTAACTCAAAATAATTTTCTAATTTTCGTGATTTTTCCATATTTTGTCAATTTTTGAACTTTAAATGCTTAGAAAAAAAAACTGTGACTAACGATTTTTAATATTTTTCATCTACCTCTGAAAAAATATCTAGGAGCCTTGTATTAAATTTTCAAGTTCTCGCAACTAACAAATAAAATTTTATTGATATTTTTAGAAAAAAAACTAAAAAAAAATGGAAAATGAAAATGTCCCTAAACAGTTCAAAATAAATCAAAATATTTTGAAAATGTTATCGTTTATAGAAAATGCAAATATAAACAACCACTGAAAATTTCATATATCTACGGTCATTTGTTTTAAAGTTACACCAAAAACCAAAATCGATTTTTTCGAAAACAGATTTTGCGAAAAAAATTCCCGTTTTTCCTTAATTTTTCTTTTGTTTTTCCCGGCGCTTTTGAAAACTACTGTGAAATTTAAATTTTGACCTCCCCAATGCACCAACGATATTCACTTTCCAATCGAACAAGATACTGAAGTTGAAAATCGAAGCATTATTTCGACTACTTATCGTGTACACAGACACAAAAAAAACACACATCATTGTAAAATCAATACCTACATTCATCGTTTCACTCAGAATCTAAAATAAATTGTTCAGTGAAAATTAGTATTATATATTTAGTACATTTAATGTATAAACATAAAACATTAAGGTATTTCTAGTTCCTACTCCGTTATTAATTTGTTATTAATACATGCAGACTTTCAATAATTATATATTTATCTGATACTAATATTAAGAAATGTTTTTATTTTGTTGTCATTATCATATTGAAGTATACTACTCATAAAAACATAACAAAAAACACAAAATACATGATTTTAAAGCAAAAATTATAGCTAGGCACTGGTAGAATTATTTTAGCTTAAATTGGAACTATGTTTAATTAAAATAAATTATTACTGTAGTGTAACATTACCTTGACATGTTTGTTGAATTTTCATCAATTAAACCATAAGAGATGTGAGCATGTACTTTCTGAGGTGACTTTTAGAGTCCATCCGATCTTGTAACTTATCAATACTTGAAATATAATTTTGTGAATCTCTAGAGTCTTGAAGTAAACTAGGAATACAAAAACAAAACAATTTTTAAGCATAGTTTAACTATTTAAAAATTAATACAAGCCAAAAAAGGTGCTCTGCTGTACAGTAGGTTACAAGTGGGTCACCGTATAATCGATGGTATTAAATTTGAATTCAATGATATAATATCATTGTATAAGAAAAACGATTCTGAGCGGAGACGGTATGTCAGTCTAGGTTTAAGACATATATATACATATCTATGGTATTTTAAAAAATATTGACCTATAATAGGTACCTATAATAAATTAAAAAATTTTCCGGCACAAAACTATTGGGAATTTTAAAATTTGACCTCCTGAATGCACCAACTAGGTTCCGTTTTCCATCGAACAAGATACTGTTGAAGAAAATCGAAGCAGTTTTACGGCCCAAAACCATGATGACAGACACAAAAATGAATAAATAGTAAAAAATAAAAAAACACACATCAATGTAAAATCAATACATTCATCGTTCCACTCAGAATCTAAAATTGATTTTTGTAATAGAAATATTGAAATGTATGTTGCCGTTAAAATGATGACAAAATATACCTATTTTGATGAGACTTATTATAAACAATATGAGGCAAGTAAACAATTGTGTGTAAAATGACTTGTCAACAAGAAAATAATGGAAATAATTGGACATGTACATTTTCAAAATTGTTTAGAGCAAAGTTGGAAACAGATACGTGATCTTCAAATAAATGAAAATATTAAGAGAACGTAACACGGGCATTTGTTTTCTCTGTCGACTGTCTGTCGCGGTCGTTATCGCAACGGCCGCGGTGTCTCTATCGGCGTCCGCGAGATCGCGACCGACAACCGGTCTGGCCGCCGCCTGCGGCACGGCCGCCGGCCCGGCCAGCGGCGGTGGCGACGGTGGGATACTGGGATCTCTCGTCGGACCGTTGTCAACGCCGCACGCGTATTATTATAATAATAGGTATTAACTTATATTACCTGTGCAATATACGTCGTAAGTACCTACTTAACGTGTTCGTCGTCGTTTGTTATTTACAACCCCTACAAACCGTTCCATTACCTACATGTCTTACAAGAGACTAGAGAGTAACATAGGAAATTTAAGCTCAGCATAAAACATTAAGCTTTTCTAGTTTAAACATTAGAATGAATCGACCTATTATGAAACATGATTTTTAGTTATGAGCATTTTTAATTAACGCTATATTATATATGTAAGACTTGCTAAAAAATTTAACTACAGTAAAAACTCCTATAAAAACAAAGATAATTTTCTTAACCTAACCTAACCTTATCATATCGATAATTATATAGATTAAGTCGTAAAATCCATATCGTATCTTTAGTAGGCACTATAGTGTAAAATATAGGTATCTGTTATCGGAAGATCACACGTTCTACCTATGTACAACACTTTATCGTAGATAGCCATTTATCGGTAGATCACACGTTGGACCGGTCCCAAAATATTTTCAAAACTGTATGGTGTATAGGAAATGCTAATAGCTAATATAAACATTCAGTGAAATTTTCATGTATCTACAGTTATTCGTTTTTAAATTACAACAAAATAAGGATATCGCTACATAAGAAATCGAGTGAATATCCAATAATGTATAAATTTGAATTTCAAACGCTCATAAAAATTTAATTTGACTTTCTTACAGAACTTTTTTTTTTTGATAAAGGTAGATAATCTTATAAGGAATCTTGTATCACATTTCAAAATCTTATATTTAAAAAGAAAAATGTTTACGAATTCTTAACTCAAAATAATTTTGCTAATTTTCGTAATTTTTCCATATTTTGTCAATTTTTGAACTTTAAATGCTTATAAAAAAAAACTGTGACTCAGGATTTTTAATATTTTTAATCTGCATTTGAAACAACTAGGAGTCTTCTATACAATTTTCAAGCTTTTTTTAAATTCCAAATAAAATTTTATTGATATTTTTAGAAAAAAAACTAAAAAAAATTGGAAAATGAAAATGTCCCTAAACAGTTCAAAATAAATCAAAATATTTTGAAAATGTTATCGTGTATAGAAAATGAAAATATAAAAAACCAGTGGAAATTTCATGTATGTGAAAAATCGATTTTGAGTAAAATTCCCGTTTTTCCTAATTTTATTTTTTGTTTTCCACCGCGCTTTTGAAAACTACTGGGAATTTTACTTTTGACCGCCAAAGTTCCAACTAGATTCACTTTCCTCTTAGAAAAAATACTGTTGAAGAAAATCTAAGTACTTTTACTGTCCTGAACGGTGATAACAGACACAAAAATAAATTTAAAAAAAATTAAAATTAAAAAACACATCATTTTAAAATTAATACATTCATCGTTCCACTCAGAATCTAAAATAATTAAATTATAAAATATAATTAATAATTAATAAAAATGATACATTTTGTGAAAAACATTTGATTACTAATTCTTTTGTTATTTCTAAACACATATTTTTTAGCCTTTGTTCATATTTTTTTTTCTTATTAAAACTGTACCAGTTTGGACATTTACTATTTAGTAATTTAATAATTGTTTTTGGAGTTGATTAAATTAGTTCAGTAGGTACTTCAGTTGATTAAAAATATACATTTTTAATTTATTATATTTATGAAAATATTTTGAAATATTGGACAATAGGCAAAAAAATAATTTTATATTAACTAGTAAAATAATATTATTAAATAGTTAAACTTTAAAAAAAATGGAGGTAAAATGTCTGCATCTAAAATATACGTTGGCTGGGAAATGCCCTACTATACACTGAAAACCACAGGATATATGAAATATAGGTATTATATTTTGCATATATCTTGCCCTTATATTGTCCTTTTAGGGCCGTTCTTACGACGTCCGGTTAAAGTTAACCGACACTTAACCGGAAGAATTCTGCCGGTAATAAAATCTGTTATCAGTCGGTTAGCGTTAACCGACACTTTACAGGACATTGTAAGAACGGCCCTTAATGTCCGTGCGTTATATCTTGGTATCATAGGCGGAAATCCATTAACATTTCAGGGGGCTAACATTATAAACATAAATGTGAGTGGTGGGCTTCGATCCCACCACCCATTGTTCTATGATCCCACACAGTTAATAAAGGAGGGGGCTTAAGTGGCTTGATGGACTTTCGGAGGGGCCCCAGAAGCCATCGCCTCCTACCAGATCTACACCAAATCTACACCAATGTTATTATCGCTTCCAATTCCCAGTCCGTGCAGTGGTATTACATTTACAGAGTTATTACTATGGTTGGGATCACTGTAAAATCGAACCTTAAATAGCAAACAATCTACACCAAACAACCACAGGGGTAACCTAACCAGAATACAACAATTTTCAATTTTGTTCAGAAACTACTCGCGAGCGTTATCACGATATTTTGTTTTGTTGATATTTTAACCAGTAAATAAAATTTCTGGTTAGTTCTCGTAGTTCGAGCACAGAATTGATTATGAATGTAATATAGCATTATAGCCATATCGGTTTGAGTGTTTTTTTTTTTAGAGGGAAATGTCGATGTCTTACACAAACACGCTATAACTCAGTAACTGCCGTCTTTTTGTTTAGTGGTTTTCATTAATACTATTTCTGATAACTGATTAAACTATAAAATTAAAGTTACTTGAAAATTTGAATGTGTTTCAACAATGCCGTCATTAGCATTAGATAAAGAAACATTTTATAGGCGATTAAAACATCTATACGATTTTTGGAAGGTAATTATAATTGTGTTTAAAAATCGTACTATATCTTTATGTTACTGATTTAGCTATAGTAATAAAGATTAATACTGTAAGACATTTTCGGTTATCTCTTACAAAAGGTTATGCTGGTTTATATAAGGGTCTATTATATTATAAAGTAAATAAAAATAATTCATTTATTTTGCACTGATTTTCTTGCATTGGCTTTGTAAGATGAAACTGTACATTATAAAAATGATTCTATTGATCCGACTGGTAAAAAATGATTTTACTGGAAGGATTACAAACATTTACAAACTTAAGTATCAGAAAAAATATTTTATTTTTCTTAAAAATATGAACTTTGATTTTACATTATTTTGAAAGTAAATTTAATACTTTATTTTTACTTTTAAAAGTAGTTATCTATTCAACAGTTAAATTATACTTACATTTTTTATTGATATAATTTAGTGTGCCTAACTAGTAACCATAATACTTACAACAGTGTATCAATACGTAGGTTTTGCATGTTTATAGATTGTATTTTGAATGAAATTCTAATCAAGAGTATTTGTAAATGATGTTCTGTAATATTTATAGCTACCTCAAATTATTTTGGCTTGGCCCACCAACTAGTACTTTTTTATAATTATATAACAATTTAAATATACTTGAAATAAACAAAATTTTCTATGTAAAAAAATATGAACTAGCTTAGGGCTGTTTTTAGAATGTCTGGTTCAAGTTAACCGACACATAACCTTCCAAGTTCTGCCAGTAATAAAATCTGTTATCAGTCGGTTAGCTTTAACCGACACTTTATCTTACACTCTAAGAACGGCCCTTAAACATAGAAAACATATTCTTACTATATAGCCCTAATATTTGGTAGCTTTTTTAATTTAAAAAAAAAAAACTTAATAAATCTTTATTTTTTTAAAAAACCTATAAAAAAATTAAAATTTTTAGAATGTATATATTTAGCAAAAACAACTGCTTAGGGGGGCCAATTTCACCATCACGGTTAAACTTCGATTAAGCTTAATCGGCTGATAACATATATTCAACCGGGAAAATTTGGCCGATTAAACTCCGGTTAACTTAACTCATGATTAACTGTGTTAATGAAATCGGCCTTAGAATAAACAAAATTAATACAAATTATATGTAACATATTTTACAACTTTATAATATACATAAATGTTTTTTATTTAAACTGACACCTGACACAACTCGCACTGTTTATGATATCACTTTTACTCGCAAGAGGTGAAAATTTACCCTACCATTATGTATCATAAATTTTTTTCTTTAAAATTGAAATTTGTTAAGCATTACCAGACCAAAATTGAGTGCATTAATTTTCCTACATATTTTTCTTTTATATTAACATAAATATGCCTGGGATAAATATTTATCTCATGCATGTGCTTACATGTTAAAAATCTTATTTTATACTTTTTTCAGTAAATAATATATAATTTATAAATTTCTTATTTTTTCTGAATTGTAAAATTTAATCTTGTAAAACAACTTTCAATTAAACACCTAATAAAACAAATTTTATATTCCAAATGTATCCACTAGGGTGGTCCTCCGTTATAGATGAAGTAGAAAAAATTGCAAAATGTTCAAGTTACCGCCCTCAAATAGGTTCAGTTACTTAAAAAAAGCATGAGAAAAATTTTTTAGACGAAATGGTTAACTTTAACCCGTGCCGCAAAAGCTCTAAAGTTTTAATAACGAAAAAATGTTAGAAATCATTAGTTTTTGAATATAATTAATCATAACTCTTAAAAGAATGATTTTACAAAAATTATTTTAAAGACATTATTTGTACGTTATTATTGTTACAACAGTTTTATACTTATACATTTTTTTTAAATATATTATTTTCAAAGATATTTGAGTTTAAATTTTAAAAATAAAAATGTTTAACTATTTTTTGTTTGGCAATAAATAAAATGTTTTTTATATCGTATAATGCGATTTAAATTAACTTAAAATTAATATATATTGTATAATATGGTTTGCATGTGATCCTACAAGTTTTAATCTATGATACAAGAGATAATTATAGAATCGTTAGGTGGGTAGTGTACTTAAACCTATACACGTATTTTGCGATTATTTCCATGGTAATATTTAGGTAATAATGTTAATAAACTTATTGTAAACCGATCATTGATACGACGCTCTCGCATAAAATACCAAGCAACGTGCTGAACAAATACGTCATACTATAACTTAGGTAAGGAAGACACAGTTGTTATACACTGGGACGAAAAACTTCTTCCAAATTTAACCGGGAAAGGCTTAGTCGATAGGCTGCCTATAATCGCGTCTGTATATGGTCGTGAACAACTGCTAGGGGTCCCGGCGTTAAATAGTGGAACTGGACTTGAACAAGTCAATGCAATATACCAAACGCTTGTAGATTGGTGTATAGATGAAAATGTACAAGCACTTTGTTCCGATACTACAGCATCAAATACAGGTCGCTTAAATGGAGCTTGTGTTTTACTTGAGCAACTATTAGAACGCGAAATAGTATATTTACCATGCAGCCATCATATATATGAAATTATATTGAAAAGTGTGTTCGATTTGAAATTTGGTGCAACATCGGTTTCTAAAGATCGACTATTAGAAAAGCAGCCAAGAGATGATTATCGAGAGTTACTAGAATTAACAGTAATTTTTTGGGTGGGAAACTTTCAAATGATATTAGCTTTAAAATACCAGGTGCCATACATCATGCTCGGTGGATGGCAAAAGCTATTTATAGCTTGAAAATATATTTATTTCGTGAACAGTTTCGATTAACACCCAAAGAAGAAAGTGCCTTAAGAAGTATTTGCATTTTTATTGTACGGTTATATATAAAAGTATGGTTTAATTCACCATCTTCAATCAAAGCTCCTTTACAAGACTTGACTTTTATGAAAAATCTTTTACAATATGCCTCTATAGATAAAGATCTATCTCAGATAGCAGTTAAAAAAGTTTTGTGGTCACTTATGGTATTTATCGGCGGAATTATGCGCATTTGATTTTTTCGATGAGGCTGTGCCACTGGAGACTAAAAGAAAAATGATTCATGCTCTAAACAACGACGAATGTTTATTAGAATTAAATTCAAATGCACAACGTTTAATTATATTTGCAAAAAATGCAAACGAGTTATTAGAAAAGGAAATTTATGATTTTATATGTGTCAAGACTAAAAATCTTTTTAAACGATTTGCTATCAATACCACTTTTTTGAATGAAAACCCTTTAATGTGGGCAAATAATGCAGATTATAATACAGCTCTGTCAATTTTAAAAAATATTGCAGTTATAAATGATGTTGCAGAAAGAGGAGTAAAAATTATAGAAGATTATAACAACAAAATAACCAAAGATGAATCTCAAAAACAATATCTACTACAAGTTGTTAGAGATTATAACAAAAAATATCCTGACCATAGAAAAGAAACACTTACCCAAGTTACACAGTCATAAATTTAGTTATATCATTTATATTTAAAATATGTTAAAAATATAAGTGTTATTATTTATTGTAAATTGTTTTCACTATTATTTGTATGTTATGCTGATGGAAATATCTCAATTTTCAAGATTTTTTTTTTTTTAATTTTTTGATTAAAATATTTGAAAAAATAAAATATTTGGAAACTAATCTATATGAAACAAATTTTAGTAAATTTAGTTTTCTATCATTGTATCTCAACAAATTTTTTGTAACATTTTTATTTCCAGAGTTATTTTTAAGAATATCAAAAAAAAATTAAAATATTGAAAATGTTCTATTTTTGTAACTTTGGAGCTTTTGCGGCACGGGTTAAAATTAAAGAATTTGCATGAAACTTTATTAGTATGGTTTTTTCAGGTAACTTAACCTTTTTAGGGGGGGTAATCTCAAAAAAATGAAAAATGAAAAATAAGGACCTAGTATCCACTAACATTTAGGGCCAGTATAACAATCATTGATTACACTTCGATTACGCTTAACCGACTGATAACATATTTTATTACCGGCCAAATTCCGATGGTAAGGAGTCTGTTAAATTTAACGGGAGATGGTAATACTGGCCCTTATTATAAGATAATGACATAGATTTTATAGCGTTTTAGACATTTTATAATTTGTTAATTTTTTTATGTTTCAGAATAATAAAGATGAAAATGTACGAGCTTTAACTAATGTAGATGCCTTTACATGTGCAGTTGGAGTTGATGACTATACTATGTATAGTAAATCATCATCGCTGCAGGTAAATATACTATGTAATAGATTACATGAACAAATAACAATTAATATTAAAATAATGATACAATTATAGTTCTTGAAATTAAAAAAAAATATCAATGGACTGTCTTTTATTAATTAAGTAATATGCATTTCCAAAAATAAAAGTTTTAAAATAGCAGAAAATTGTATTTATATGTGAATGTAAATGTATTGCTTAGATTTTGTGGTTTTGATACTAATGTTTTTCTATAATTTAAAGTACTTGGTTATAATAGGTGATATACATTAAAAAAAGAAAGTATTTTATACTTTTCTTATTTTTATTCTTGTTTAAATGTTTATACCTGCAAATTAAATATTGAATACACTATACTTAGTTAAATTTTTATTAGCATTTAACAGAGCTGCAACTAAGGGTTATTTAATATAGTAACCATCAAGGGGAGGAACATCATTAAAAATACTTTTTTTTTACTATTGAAATGTTGATGAAAGTATAAATAATGCATAGGACTAGGAATTAAAATATGCAGTATAAAATAATAAAATGTACACTGAATTTACAAATATTTTCAAGACTCTTTAACATGTAACCACCATAGTTTGCATAATATCAGTAAATAAAAGTATTTTACAAATGCCATTGGTCCCACCTTGTTCTTTCCTATACGTTATAATTTGACCGCTGGCTGTTATAAACACATTTATTTGATAATTGAATATTTTCGTTGTCGGATTAATAGAGAATATTTTTTGTTGATGGTGTAGAGGAAAATATTTTGAATCAATTTATGAATAAGATGCCTTAAAAAGATAAAATATTATACACTTTAAAGTGTACACTCTATTACCCATAAGTTGACCCACTTGCTTGACAAAAACAGGCCGCCGCGTCTTCAGGGCGCTATTTGTGATCATTGCCAGTAGCAGCTGCCTACTACGAGCACTACCGATCGCAGACCAATCACAGACTGGTGGTCTCCGACCAGAGGGGTCTGGACGTTTCAGCGGCTCAATATGCATGCGCGCAAGTGGGTAAACTTAATGGGGATAGAGTATATCAACTATTAATATAATATAATACATTAAAAAAATGAATTTCTTCATAATGTGTATAACATTGAAAAACAGCCATGGACCCACTCAACATATTATATTTAAATGGAAGATAAGGTTTTTGTAATTGTGTAACAAATTGGATAAAGTTACTTTTTATGTAAGCTCAATCATTTTTGTTAGTCTTTTAAATCATACTATTTTTTTTTTGTCAAAGATAAAACAACTGATTTAATTTAATTTAAATTAGGAGCATAATGTGACGGCATATCAAACTTTTACTCTACTTTTGTTTAAATATACTATTCAGTTTTGGGTCAGTTTTATAGATAAATACTAAATACTAAATATGTAAAATAAAAATTGATCATAAATAATGTATATCAATATGAACCAATTTTTGGACATGACTAACCAAATTGTTAAAGGACCCAGCAAAATATATATACAAATATATCAGCCCTAAAAATGTTAATTCAAACTTAAAATATCCTTAAACCAAAAAAAAAGTATTATATATATATTCCTAAAAAACATGTAGTACTAAAAAAGTTCTGCCTTTGCATTTGTTGTCTCCGTTTTACACAAATACGACATAGCAAATTTTGTTCACAAGTTTAAATAGTGTGTTACTTTTCAATTCACTCTAATATCAAATCAAACAGCTTACAGCACACTATTGAAACTAGTGAATTGAAATATTATGTCGTATGTTTGTAAGATAGAGACAACAAATGCATGGGAAATGTTCTCTTAATTGAGTATGGTTATTATTCTTAAGACAAATTATAGTACATTTTATTATGATGCTTAATTGACACGGGTGACAATAACTTGAATAGTGTATTGTTGTTCCCAAATTACAGTATGCTCGTTGTTATTGCTTATTAATGCTCATTGCTTGCAAATACTCTTCTTCTCTTTTAGTGCGTGACCACATGGTCCGATTATAGCCACAGCGGTAATAAATCGCCCGGGTTGACCGCAACATGCTGCGGTTAATGTATCCTTAACTGTTATTTTAGGAAAGTTTGGTTGGTCTAATTAAAAATGATGTATTTCAATTGAACCGGACAACTGGAGAATTTCTACCACCACAGTTATAATTATGTAAGAAACCGGACAGTGTGTTGACGCTATCACAAGTGCTGTGGCTAGTCTTGGGAGAGATATCGAGAATTAAATGAAAAAATACACAAAGTAGGGGGTTTGAACCCGCGACTCACACGCCAGACTGCCATATGCGTTTCAGTGAGTCACCGTTATCTTCTCCTATTAACCTGGATATTCTCCCTTTTGGGCCAGAGTGACAGTGTGTACAGTTGAGGAGCAGGTGCTAGGGCCGTGTCAGTGTTTCCAGCCTTAATTCTCTATTATTTATTTAATACTCATCTGAACACCCTCTAAAATTGTGTTTGCACTCGTTTGACATAAATCTTCAAAACCCATATAAAAAATATTATGCGTATGTATTTTTTATATTTTTAAATTGCTATAAGGATTACTTTGTATTACATTGTCTAGATTTTTGACCCAGAAAAAAAAACTACATCAACATAAATCAAATTTAAAATTTACAATTTCAAGCATTAAATAGCTCAAAAATTCTAAAATATTTTGAAAAATAATGTCACCTCTAGGAAAAAAGGTCAGGCGGGGTAACAGAGACGTGGTTTTTCAAAATCTCAGTTTAATGGAACATACTATTTTCCTGTATTCTTATGTGGAACATAGTTTTTTATCATTCATTAATGAACTTATCAGGAATTCAAATTTGTGTTCAAAAATGTGTTTTGATAATTTTTTAATTAAAAAAAGATTATTCAAAAAAAAAAAGTGTCGCACTTTCTCTGCTACCGGGGTAAGTACAAAACCGGTACTTTTAATGCAGTTGTATACAAGCTATTCCTTGGCCGGGGCAAGTGCCATAAACTAATGAAAATCTTCGAAGAAATTCTGTTGAAAGAATTCAATTATTCAATTTTATCAACATTTGACAGACCATCAGGTTTTTTTAATTTATAGTTAATACATATTAGTTTTTTTTATAAGTTTTGGTTGATATAATTTAACACATATTCAAAGTTTAATTGTCAACTATTTACATATTTATTAATGAATATTTGTTACTCTTAAATATTTTAGTCACAAACAATATTTATCAAATCTTTTTAACTATTTAACAAAATAAGGCATGTCGCACTTTCCCCATGAACATGTCGCACATTCCCCATGTGGAACTTAACACGGGGGAAGTGCATAATCGGCTAATACTCAATTGTATCATACAATTAGCATAATTCATAAATAAAATAATATTATAAATATAAAATAACATTTATTTAACTAATTTGAAATTATTTTGAGCAATTTAGGTGGGTTAACTAGACCGTTGAATTATCGTCGATTTAAAAAAATACGAGTAAATAACTGATTAGCTTTTTTAATACTGATAACTGCTATGTTTGATATCCTAAAGTGTAACCAACATTATACAACATTGATTACTATTAAACTTCTTAATCTTCATGAAATAAACTTTAAAATTGAAAGATTGTATTTTTTATAACCCGATTAGGCACTAGCCCCGTTAAGCTCTTACCCCACCTGACCTTAAATATTTGGTGAAAATAACAAGTTTATAGTTTTTACATTTATTCATTTTTGAATTACAACCAAAACACATAATCTAATATGTTCAAAACTTTTTAGCCTTATGCATCAACTATCTAATTGTCTACCAGAAACTCCCTAAAAGATTTGAGTAATTTGTCTGAGTATTAAATGGTGATAGTTTATAGTTTGCTCATATTTATATTAAAATGATTAAATTAATTAATAGTAAAACTAATATTATACATTCACATTGAACATGATAACTTTAACTTTTTTTTAGATTTGGTTATTTGGTTATGAATTAACTGACACGGTGTCAGTTTTTACATTAGAAGGAGTGCATATTATAGCCAGCAAAAAAAAAGTTGAGTTCTTAAAACCAGCCGAAAATGTTAAAGATTCTGACTGTCCTTCTGTGAAACTTATTACAAGAGAAAAAGTAAGTTTAGTAAAAATAACAACCTTAATTTATATATTAACTTATATTATATTAATAAAACTAATATATTAACTTTAAGATTTTTTTTTATGTTAAGTAGTCATTTTTAGATTTGAGTTTTAAAATATTATTGTTCTAGACTCAATTTTATTAAAGTTATTTAAGAATAATTTTTTAGTGGTGGCTTGTGAATAATGCAAGTTGCAATTCATTTTAATTTTTATATAACGTAAAAAATTAAAGTTAGCAGTTAAAATTAAGTTATAATATTGACAATGTTCACGAGTTGGTCCTATAGAATTAATTTTATCATATCTTATCATACAATAACCACGAGTTCCCATTAACTTTGTATGAATAGTTTACGTATAGATTTTTAATTTTATTTATTTATTAATTTCAGGGCGGGAATGATAAAGATAGCATTGACAAATTAATTAAAGCTATAAAAAATAGTAAAAATGGCAAATCTGTTGGTATTTTTGGAAAAGAAAAATATCCAGGTACATTTATGGATGCGTGGAGAACAGAATTTGAAAAAGGAGACTTTAATACTGTATGTTATCTTGTATTCTAAATAGGGTATTTTATTAGTTATTCCTTTTTTTACATTTGTTTATTTTACATTATACGAAGGTTGATATAAGCTCTGTGATTGGTTATATTTTAAGTATAAAATCTGAAAATGAAATCACATTAATAAAGAAAGCTAGTTTAAGTTCAGTTGATATGTTTACAAAGTACCTCAAAGAACAAATTATGGAAATAATCGATGCTGACAAGGTAATAACATCCATCATTAAATCTCTAAATTTCAGATTTTTATTAATTTAAATTTTTATAAGTTTAGAAAGTTAAACATACAAAACTAGTTGAAGGTTTAGAAGGAGCGCTGTCAGATAAAAAATATTTGCCAGCAAATGTTGATCCATCTCAATTAGAATTTTGTTATCCTCCTATTATTCAAAGTGGAGGAAATTATAGTTTAAAATTTTCTGCAACTAGGTATTGAATAATCTTAATTGTCTTATAATTGTTATTATATTTTCTATTATTTTTACAGTGATAAAAATATTTTACATTTTGGAGTGATAATATGCAGTTTAGGAACACGATACAAATCATACTGTTCTAATCTTATAAGGACAATGATTGTCAATCCAACTGAAGAAATCCGGGTATATAAATAAATAATTATTTATTTTTAAAAGTAGTTGATAACCATTAACCATTTTGTCTCCATTTTAGTCAAATTATGAGTTTTTAATAAGTTTGCAAGATATCTTAATGTCGAGATTAAAATCTGGTAATAAATTATGTGATGTTTATAACTCTGGAATAGAATTTGCTAAAAAGGAAAAACCAAAACTTGTAGATTTGCTAACAAAAAATTTTGGGTATGTCAATTAGTTTTTAAAATATTATAATAATTTGATTAATCAATTTTAATTTTAATAAAATAAATAATTTTAGATTTGTAATGGGTATTGAATTTCGTGAAAGTTCTCTAATGATAGCTCCTAGAACTACTGCTTGTGTTAAAAAAGGTCAAGTTTATAATTTATGTGTTGGTTTATCTGGATTAACAAATAAGGACGGAACTGACAAAGAAAGCAAAGTGTATGCTTTATATGTTGGAGATACAGTTTTAGTAAATGAAGTAAGCTTTATTCAATTTTTTTTTAAATGTAAAGCTATATAAAAAAATTATTCAAATGTGTAAAAAAATGTCAGTATTCTATTTTTAAACATAAACTTGTATAGGACACTACAGCAACCTTATTGACTCCATCCAAAAAAAAGATTAAGAACATAGCTATTTATTTGAATGATGATGATGAAGATGAAGAAGAAGACGATGAAAAAGAAAATGAACCAAAACAAGAACCAATTGTCAGCCGAGGAAAGAGAACAGCAGTACTAGAATCAAAACTTAGAGTAACTTACTTATTCAAGTATTAACTGAAAGGTATTCAATTATTTATTTTAATCTAATGTTTAAAAATATTAGATGGATTCATCAAGTGAAGAAAAACGTAAACTACATCAAAAAGAATTAGCTGTGGCTCTAAACGAAGCTGCAAAACAACGTTTGGCTGAACAGTCAAGTGGCAAGCAAGCTCAAAAAATAAGAAAGTCTAATGTCTCTTATAAAAATCGTAACCAAATGCCACAAGAAAGAGAAGTTAAAGACCTTAAAATTTATGTTGGTATGTTAATAGTATCAATTACTAAGGTATACCCTGTCCCTCAAAAGAACATGGCAGATCTATTCATGTATGAGGTCAGTTAGTCTTTCGGCCTGTGGGGCTATGTACAGCAGATCAGTTTTTGTTACCAATGAGGGATAGGTTAAAAATGTTAACATTTTTATTTTTTACATAAATTATTTAGAAAACTGCTTTTAGTTTTAATAATTAATATTATATAATTTTGTTTTAGACAAAAAATATGAAACCGTTATACTTCCAGTATTTGGTATTTCTGTTCCTTTCCATATATTTACCATCAAAAATATTTCCCAGAGTGTTGAAGGCGATTATACTTATTTAAGAATTAACTTTTTTCATCCTGGAGCTGCCTTGGCGAGGGGTGAAAGTTATTTTCAAAATCCTGAAGCCATGTTTGTTAAAGAACTGTAAGTATTGAAGATATTCAATTTAAATAATTAATATTTTTACTTAACATTTTTTTTTTTTTCAGAACTTATCGTAGTTCAAATACAAGAGAACCTGGTGAACAAATAACAGCATCAACAAATTTAATGAATGCCTATCGTATAATTAAAGAAGTACAAAAAAAATTTAAAACCAGAGAAGCAGAAGAAAAAGAAAAGGAAGATTTAGTTAAACAAGATACATTAGTATTATCTGTTAACAAGGGTAACCCAAAATTGAAAGACTTATACATAAGACCGAATATTGTAAACAAAAGGATGACTGGTAATATATATCAATAAAATAAATTATTAATTGTTGTATGTATAACTAAATTAATGTATTTTATCCAGGTACTTTGGAAGCTCATTCTAATGGATTTAGATATAATTCAGTTAGAGGTGATAAAGTTGATATTTTATACAACAATATTAAAAATGCATTCTTCCAACCTTGTGATGGTGAAATGATTATATTGTTACATTTCCATCTGAAAGTAAATTTACAAGTCAATCATTCGATAATTTATCAACAAAACATTTCTAATTATATTTATTTACCTTTTACAGCATGCTATCATGTTTGGTAAGAAAAAACATTTAGATGTACAGTTCTATACTGAAGTTGGAGAAATAACCACAGATCTGGGTAAACACCAACATATGCATGATAGAGATGATTTAGCTGCCGAACAATCAGAACGTGAATTGCGTGTTAAATTAAAAACTGCATTCAAAAGTTTCTGTGAAAAAGTAATATATACCTTAATTTGATAGTTTGAATTTTTTTTCATATGAGAATTGGATTGTTAATAGGTAGAAACTGTAACCAAACAAGAAATAGAATTTGATACTCCATTTAGAGATTTAGGATTCCCTGGTGCACCATTCAGAAGCACAGTTCTTTTGCAACCTACAAGTGGATGCCTAGTTAATTTCACTGAGTGGCCACCATTTGTTATTACATTGGAAGACGTCGAATTGGTTCATTTTGAAAGAGTTCAATTCCATTTAAAAAACTTTGACATGATTTTTGTTTTTAAAGATTACCAAAAAAAAGTTGTCATGGTGAATGCTATACCAATGAATATGTTGGATCATGTTAAAGAATGGCTTAAGTATGTTATTACTTATTTATAATACAATCGGACCTATAGTTACTCAGTATTGGGATCTATTATAATTAAATTATTAATGATTTATATGTACTAAGAGGTTAATGTTTCTATGTAAGTAGTAAGGACGACATTAATTAAATTAGGATAATCTAGGTTCATTTATTAGCTACACAATTTAGGTCTTACAATTTGTCAGGACTGATATTTTGATAACTTAAATTAAAATACCGGGTCTGCTTAATATTTATATTGAACAAACAATTACAGTTGATGTTTTATATAGTTTTGATTAGGTATATACTATGTATTCGCACTATAAGGTATCACTAAATATTTCAGGTTGATAACATTGAATTAAAATTTGGTTTTTTGAGTTAAAAGAGAGTACAAATAAAAAGTTGGGCATGAGTGTCGCTCTGCTGTACATTAGGTTACAAGTGGATCACTGTAATGAATTGTGTTAAATTTGAATTCAATGATATTTTATCCTTGTATTAGAAAAACGATTCTGAGGGAAGACGGTCAGTCAGCCTATGATATAACTAGTATATTTGATGATATTATTGTGACTAAAGTAATTTATTTACCTATTTATGTGGAACCAAGTTTTAAATATTCAATTATTAGCTATAAAAGTTGAACATTTCGTACATTTTTAACTACAAAATCAAATTTAGTACATTTTTTAAAAACTTGAACTTTAAATGTTTCTTTTTTTTCATAGCAACCCTAATTTATCCCACAGATTTTGTTTAACTGTTTTATTTTTTTTAAACTATTTTTATATAAATTTTTTTTGTAATTATCAAAAATGGACAAAGTTGGAGTGAGTTGAAATTTACGAATTAGAGGTGTAAACACATTATACAAGTATACAAATATAAACTGTACAACTATTGATATTTTATAATTTAAAAATTGATACATACCAAAAAGTATAGGAATTGAGGATGGGCTTGTATGTTATATTAGTACTGCAATATTTAATTTAAAAGTAGTGATATTTATTTCACATACATCAAAACATGTTATGAAATATGTTTACATAAATATATATATATACATTTCTGCGTTTTTAACTGTTTAAAGTTTTTATTCACATTTTTGGTGATACTATTGAACTTGTCAAAATTAGAAAACATTGTAGTATTGATAAAAGGATTTAAAAAAAAATAAAGCCTTTTTTAACTAACAAAGTGACCTCAGAAAATTAAATAAACTATTGTCTTTAGTTTTTTTATTCTTGCTGCAGTAAAAAATATAAGAAATTGAACAGTTTTCAAAATATACCTATTTAATTGTTTTTTTTTTTATAATAGTTCTTGTGACATTCGATATTCTGAAGGCATTCAGTCATTAAATTGGACTAAAATTATGAAAACAATTACTGATGACCCTGAGGGTTTTTTTGAAAATGGAGGTTGGACTTTCCTTGATCCTGAATCTGATGAAGACGAAGGAGCTGCAGACGAAGAAGAAGAAGAAGATGAGCCTTATGAGGTGATTATATTCATCTTATAAAGGTGTCCATTATAAAAATACAATTTTGTAGTTCATAGTGTTTATACATTTTTGTGAAATATTAAATATTTTTTAGCCGTCTGATGTAGAATCATTTGAAGAGTCAGATGATGATGGATCTGAATATTCAGAAGCTTCAGAGGATTCAGACAGTGATGGTATTATGTTTTATAAATTTATTAATTAAACTTATTGATTTGGAGAAAAAATATTTGTAAATTATAGAAGAAGAACTTGGTTCTTCTGATGAATCTGGAAAGGATTGGTCAGATTTAGAAAGAGAAGCAGCTGAAGAAGATCGTGATAGAAATGAGTTTCAAGATGAATATTCAAAAAAAAAAATGGGCAGTAGTAGTGGAAGTCGATTTAACAGTTCCTCATCACATAAAAAATCAAGCAGTGATAAGCACAGGTACAGATCATAATATAATAATTATAATTATAAACATGATGAACATTAAATAATAATAATTTATCAATATTTATAAAAAAAAATTGTACAGAGTAATCAATTGCCTATCCCGACAACTAGTACAATATGCATAGATAAATAATCAAATTTATTATTTATATTATTTTTACCAGGGCTCGTAAGTTCATGCCCTAAAAAATGCCTAAATAAGCATGCATTTATACTCACTAAGTATCTAAAATTATGCACTTAAAAACATCATAAATTATTTTTGAAGTAACATGAATTATCTATTAATTTTTTTATACTTAAATTTTATTTTTTATTTCACAATTAAAAAAAATTAGTTTTTAAATAGATCGTGTTTTTGTTCGTCAAATGTTGTTTCTTTTAAAGGTATTATTTCCATGAAAAAAATGCATATTGATATAATAAATTAGGAATATCAAGATCATGTATTATATCTATATATATAAAAATGAATGTATGTCTGTGTGTCTGTGTGTCCATGTTACCATGGTTACCAAGGTTGCCATGGTTACTAAGGTTACCAAGATTTCATATCAATCTATATATATAAAAATGAATGTATGTCAGTGTGTGTGTGTGTGTGTGTGTGTGTGTGTGTGTGTGTGTGTGTGGGTCCATATTACCATGGCAACCATATCTGTATATAAAAAACAGTAAGCTGATTGACTGCTATCAACGCACAGCTCAAACCATTGGACGGATCTGGCTGAAATTTGGCATACAGATAGCTATTATAATATAGACGTGCGCTAAGAAAGGATTTGCCAAAATTCGCATTTTAAATAGGTGCTGAAACAGGGACATTGAGATTCACGATAGAAATTGGAAATTTTATTTTTATTTATTTATAGTTGCCATTGGTTACAGTCTACATTAGAAATTAGCATTTATTTATTGGTTGCCATTGGTTATTCGGGCAGATCAGGTACAAGCTTGCATCAAATCGAATTATTGAACAATGCTTACCAGGGTGGCAGAGTTGCACTTACCGCAGAAAATTACACCCAAAAGGAGTTCAACAATCATAATTTTTTTAAGAGTTGCGATTTTTTACGAGCAACCAAATTTATTATATTAATCCACAGTATTACATCAAAATAAACTTGGTATAACTTTGATACTTTAGAGTTAAATCATACACTTCCGTACAAACAGCACGGGGTCCGCGATCTACCGCAGGTAGATTGCCTACCTGATAATGTACTGCCGCGATTCAGAATTTTTATTCAGGGCAACGGGAAAGATAAGATAAATTTTGAACACCATACACGTTAATGAATTGAACAAAGTTTGAGTAGGTAGTATTGAGTTGATCCATTTAACGGGCGACGAAGTGCACGGGATCAGCTAGTACCCTATAAAATAGAAATATGCCAAATAGGCAAAAAAACCTTTAAATATGCAAAAACATGCAAAATAAGACTTAACATATTTAACCGTGGTACCTTTAAATGGATTTCTAAGTCATCTAGTATTAAATACAACTTAGCAAGATTGCAAATGCATGAACTTACAAGCCCTGATTATTACCTTCTGCTCTGATTTTACCATTTAAAGCTATAAAAGCAATTATAAGTGTATTGTCAAATAACAATAATAAATGGCCAATTTAACATTTCAAACATAATAAATAATAATATGATTTTTAGAATATTATTATCATCCTTGCAACTGCTATATACTATAAAATAGATGAAATGTAATTCTAATAATATTTTTAAATGGGGATCCTTCTGAAGGATATATGTTTGCATTTTTAGGAACTTTAATTGCCAAACTAGTATGAAATCATTAGAGATACAAACTTAAAGGAATCCATACAGAACTAAAAAAATCTGTTTCTTATTAATAAACCGTGGATTTGTGAACATTAAAAACCAACCAAATATGTGCTAAAATATCTTAAATATGCATAAAAGAATATACTAAAATGATCAAATACAGTGGATTCCGCTTAATGTGGCCACTGGTTAATACGGGCATCCGCTTATTGTGGGCAAACATGTCTGGTCCCAATACAAATGTTTTGTTTTAACTAATTTCGGCTTTAATGGGCAACCGTTTAACGTGGGCAAACAGGGCTGTTCCCAACGTGCCCACATTAAACGGAATCCACTGTATATGTATATAAAAAAATACGTTCTCAAAAATTAAAAAAAGACATTTATTTTCTGAATATTTAATTTTAAAATTATGATACGGTACTATAATTACTTCTTTGAAATACTTAGTTGTATTCTATAGAAAAAATAGGAATCAATTAATATCAAAAATGTACCCTACAAGGAATTTACTTGGGTACCTAAATCATTAGTATTTTGTTGGTATACTCTGTTCAGCGAAAGAATCGCTCACCGACAAAACTGGTTCCCCCACGCAACACCCTGTCATTGGGAAACCTGTTTCGATAGCATGGTGACGGGTAGGGATGCACGGAATGGGCATGCTCTCTCACTGAACAGAGTATAGTTTTAATCTATAAGACAACAAATTAATTCCCTGTGAAAATACTTACGAGTATACTTGTTAATTTATTTTGATATTAATCAAAACTATAAAAGTATAATATCTTTTTTTTTCTATTTTACAATAGTAATTATTACAAAAAACCTGAAATATGCAATTAAAATCGTAAAATAATGTCTTAAATTAAAAAAAATATATTTTTAAATGTCAAAATATGCAAAATATACACTTTAAAAGTTTCATAGTTTAAATTCTTATGTCATGAAACAAATGCTATACTATTTAGGTCAACCAGAATAATTATGAAAATCCATAGAAATCTGCACTCTCAGTGCCGTAACTAGGCTACTTAAGGCCTGTGTGCAAAACCAAAATATTGAGGCCCCTTATTTTCTTTTTCAATACACACCTCAAAAACTTTTTTTGCAATTTTTAAAGTCAGTAGACAAAAATTCGGGCTTAAACAACAAAAAAATTTTTAATTTAAAATAATCCTCAATTTTAAAACAATTTCTCAAGGCTAACTCAAAAAAGTAAAAATTTTCCAAAATGTAATTTATTGAAAATATTAATATAAATATTTGGTGAAAACTTCAATGGTCTACGGTTATTAGTTTTCGAGTTATACCAAAAAATAAAATTTTTGGTTTTAGATAAAAAGGACAATTTTTTTTTTTTATTGCCGCTTTTTAATATCTAAAACTAAAAATTTCGGTTTCGATCTCCAAAAAGTACCAACTAGATTCACTTTTCTAACAGAAAAAATGCTGATCTCGAAATTCGAAATATTTTTACTACCCAATGATGACCGACAGAAATGAAAAAAATTATACACATCTTGTAAAATCAATACATTTGTCCTTTCCTCTCAAAATCTAAAAACAGTGATCACGACTCCATGCTATATAAAAAAAATGAAATAACATTGGTTTCATTTCCAAATCAATAATAAATAATTTATATATTTTAATAATTTTATATTAGTTTAATATTAGTCTTTAGATTTTTCTGAGGTCCTTCGATATATTATGAGGCCCGAGGCCCGTGTGTGGTGCACACATTGCACACCCAGTTTTTACGGCACTGTGCACTCTACTTTAAAACAAAAATGTATAGATAGGTAAATAATGTAACTAATGCTAATATTATGTTACATGTAATAATATATTGTTCTTTTCTTTAAATGTTGGTTTTAAAATAAATAAGAAATTTTTAAATACTGGATTGTATCTAAGGTATTTCATAATATAGTGATAGCATTATACCTACATTTTAGAAATTCTTCTTTATCGAATTCAAAATCAAATAACGGTCCTAAGAATTTATTACAAAAAAGCAAATCTTATTCTAGCAGTCATTCAAGGTAAAGTATTATATAGATCAGTTGTATGATTTGCATTAAGTTGACTGTATTGAATAAAACATTAAAGTATTTCAAATCAGATATACTAAGTTAGTAGTTTCTTCATTTATGTATATAAATTATTTTTTTGTTGACAAATTAGTATTACCTATTTATGACTTCATTTTAAATTTGTGTTCAAAAATATACACAGTATGATATTTTGTCATAGCATATCATTATTTAGTGCCCAAAATGAGATTTGTTTGCTTTATTTAATGATGGAGCCATTGCCTTTCTTTTAAAAATCACTTTAAGTAAAAATTTATTAAAATGATTTATTATTTAAATAAAAAAACTAATCACTTCTTTAATAATTACCAAAAAAAAAATGTCGTATTTTAATTAAATATTAATTATTGTTCATAATATATGGTTTAATTTCATATTTGCAATTTTTTCTAAGTAAAATAGGTAAAACTTCAAAAGCAGTGATATGAAATTTTTCATGGGAGCGTTTACATAATTTTCCCAACGCAAAGCCATAGGGGTGTGGGTTACTTTTATAATAATTTTTTTTATTATTATTATTTATTTTTATTGTTATAGGCCAAATAAATAAATATACCAATGCTTAAAACTTATTTAATATAAGTATTTAGAGGTTTTGATGAGTTAGTTATTAAATTATACGTTCATAGTCTATACAGTATACAATATACTGACCATATATTGTATAATTATACTACTAGAAAAATAGAATAGATATAAACATTTTGAAATAGCATGTCAGATGAACAAAATTTGTTCTGTAGAAACAAAGTTTATTGTAGGTTCTAATTATGAAAGCATAGTTTTGTTTGTGCTTAGTAGCTTAAAAGTATTATATTCTATGCTTGTATATTAAACATTATTATATGCTTTAATATGCATTTTTTAAATATTTTTTTCAAAATTATTTTAATAATGAGGTATTAATTAGTTATTAAAAGTTGCGTATTATACCTAATGACTAATGTAATACTATTGCACTTTAGTAAGAGTGGGAAATAGGAATATAATATAAATAAATATAATTATATAGCAGTATATAATATTAAAACAAAATCAAAATTTGGATATTTGAATATTTGATAAACGTATTCGTTGATATTATCAGTAGATATACATAGATAAACTTTGACAACACTGCTTGTTTTCTTTTTATCAAAATGTAAAAAAAAAAAAACTAATTAATGTTCATACATTTTTTTCTAGGTACCGCAATATTATAATTAAAAATAAATACAATTTTTTTCTCACAATTTATGAAATATTCCAAAATATGCTAAATAGGTTAAATATTTCTAACCCCAAAAATATCCTCAAATATGCAAAAAAAACTTCTTTCTACGCATTCAGAATTTCACGAATCGTCCACATTTTTTACTCTCATAAGACTGCATAGACCCGGTAAATTTATGTAAAAACATATAAATCTGGTCTTTACTAATAATTAATAAATAACCCTTAATCTCAAATAGTAGGTAAATTACATATATTTCATAGTTATTATCTGTTGTGGAAAAATTTTTATTTTATTTTATGTTTTAATATTTCCTTATTCTTGTACAGTATTATTTGTTATACGCAACAGAAGTTTTTACGTTTTATTGTTCTTGCAAAGCAAGTGAATATTTTCAGATTTTTTTTTTAATAATGCTTCTCAATGTTATCTTAGTTTAAATTTTTGATTATGTTCCTCTTTTCGGTTCAAGTATTATAATATTGAATACTTTCATACATTTTTGTCAAATTGTCTCAAAACCACTTTCCAATTCTCACTTTTCTCTTTTTTTTAAAACAAAATTTCTGAATTAATTTTGTAAAGTAAAAACAGTAGACAATAGATATGTTCAAATAATGTATATGCTTGGTGGAGGGGGGATGCAGAGCAACAACCTTATATGATTTAAACAAAATATGCATCTTAGAATATACAGTGAAAAACTTAACAATTTATTCGTTTGTGCGCAGCAAAATAAAAATTATCATTGTGTTTATTTTAGTTAACTTGAACCCTTTAGAGGCATCAATAAATCTACTCTGAGCTGACTGATAACTAGACATCCAGTTTAAATTAAATTTAAAACGCAAACATTTACTGATACTAATTAATAATATTTGGGATCATTATAGTTTAACATTGTTTTTAATTATTTTAGTCCATCTAAAAGTAAATCATCATCCCATCATAAATCAAATAGCAGCAGCAATCATCATCATAGCAGTAGTAATCGTCACAGCAGTAGCAGTGGACACCATGGAAAACGTTCTACAGGAGGTGAAAAACGTCGCCACGATGATAGCGGTGATCGTCATTCTTCTAAAAAACATAGGCAAGTATTTTTTTTTTTTTTTTAATAACTTTAAATAATAATATAATTGTGTATAATTTTTTTTTCAGAAAATAATAATGGAACTTGAAACTGGACACATTGAAAATTATAAAGCTTATCAAGATAACTTAATTTAGTATTATAAATTTATAATTTGTTTTCTTATATATTTTTATACAATACTTCTAGATTTAAGTAAATTTTAATTTTCAGCATTTTTCAAGAATACATTCAAAGGCCCAAAATTTGTGTAATTTTTTTTTAATATCCTTATATAACTAAATAAATAAATATTTGAATACATTTTTCATATTAGAATTTGTGGTTTAATTTGAGTAATTAAAATTAATATATAATATTTAATTTTAATTAATCAAGTAGAAATGACCTAAATAAAAAGTATTTAACTATTACTATTTAAAATATTTTTCTTCTGATCAATTTGTAAGCTTTCTATAGCTGAATAGGGTAGAGTTGCACTAACAGTTATTGGTGGCATGCCCGGTAAGGATATTGGAGTTGTAAGTGGCATTCCTGAGTAAACACCTGTAACATATTTAAATAATAAAATCATAAAGAAAAGCTACCCAGTTATTATTTACACTTTTAGGATATTAATTTAAGATTTTAAAATAAATGTATAGAAAATGATATAAATTACAAACAATAAAAATTAGTTATTGATATTATAAAAAATTACTTGGTTGACACTGTGATGGCTGCAAAGGTTGAAATTGAGATGATTCGTTGGAATAATTAATTCCTGAAAAATAAATAAACCATCATTTAGTTTAATAGTTATTATTAGTATATACTCTGGAAATTTGTTAAGACCAATAGGGGAATTTTATTTCTATACCAATTTGATAACTTTTTAGGGATTTAATATTTATTTTTAATAAATAAAGATTTACATGTTGTTTTTTTTTCTAGAAATAATTTATTATTACTATGAAATAAAAAAATATTATTTCACAAGTAGTCATAATATGTTTGTTAAAAATTAATTAATTTTTCAGTGATTTTCTTAAAAGCGAATAAGTGCTAGCTTAATATTAAACTGTGCAGCGTAGTTATTTTTTACTACCTGGTTGAGGCTGCGGAGGTATTATCTGTGATTGAGAATCTGACATCTTCGAATAATTGTTTCCTGCAAAATCATTGATCTCTGAATAAAATACAATCTTGCAATGTATTGAAATACTAAAATAGGCTAGTAAAACTGGTATTTATCTTCAGATAGTGATACTAAGTAATACATAATTTATAAACTAATAAATAAAAGTGAAATATTATGCAAGTGTAATTAAAAACTTTAATTTTTGTGATACATGATAAATCTAATATCATATTTATAATATATATTTTATAGATAAATAAATTATATCATACATTATATATGATAAATATATATATTATTCTTTAAGGTTTACGTGCAATTTGGTAAACTACAAAGTTTTAAACAATTATATTCAATGTATTATAAATCATAATCACTAAGTAAAATAGTGAAGTAACTATAAATGTATTACTCTACAATATAAATGATAATTTTGTTGAAATTGTTATTAGAGGTTTACCATTATGCACAAGGAAAATTGATATACCTTAACAAAAGATGAAGTAGTCAAATCCATTTTTTTTTTACATATTGTAAAAAACAATAAATGAAATAATCACAATGTGATTTTTAACTACCTAATTTATTTTAAGTTATTCCTTTTTTTCTGATAAGAACTGATAATGATAAAACAACTTTTTACAATTCTTTCCTAATAGTAATAATAATAATAATATATTAATTATTTTGATATTAGAATTAAACATATTTATTGATATAATAAATATTTTTTTGTTAAATCTGTGTTAAAACTATTGATGGCAAAAATATTTCTTTATGGGGACAAGATATTACTGATGTTACAAACTCTGATTTTTGTGGTCAAATCCAAACCAATTTTTTTTTTAATTTAAAGTACCCAAACTTTAGAAACTATTGAAATTATTTTTCAAACCAAAACAACATTTTTAAACACTTAAGTAAAACTTATTCTTCAACAATATTGAATTGTTAATTTATTAAAATTATGAAGGAAGATTATTATACTCATCTCAACAACAACCATTATATTCAATTTTTTTTGTTCATCAATTTATCATTTGTTAAATTATGCAAATAAAAATACCCAAGCATTTTCAAATAACTGTAAGGCATTTAGTTTGTTCAAAATATTTGCAATTTTCTGACCATTTTTTAAACCAAACACTTGGTTCAGTTTGGTTTGGTTTGGTTCAAAAATTGAATAGTTCATAACATCAATAATTATATTGAATATTAAACTAAAAATAAAATATACCAAGAGGTTGTGCTAAAGGCGACATCTGTGGAAAATTCTTCACAGAAAACATAGGTATAGTACTTGAACTATTTGATTGGCTGACTTGAGTTTGAAATTGCGTGAAGTAATTACTTATATCTTTAGAACTCGCTACATCAGCTACAGTTGTAGTACCCCCAATATCAGTAGGATGGTATTGGGAATAACTACTCTGAGGAGGAAATACATTTGATGACTGGTTATTCACTTCTTGAGCTGTAGCAGTTTGGGCAAGGCTCGTGGATGTTATGGATGGTTCTTGAGTAGAGATGGTGATAGATTCTTGTGATGTAAATGATGGTAATCTTGTTACTTGTGGTGTCAATACGTAAGGTTTTATTGTATCAGAAGTAGAACTTAGTTGCTGAGGGCTATACTGAGAATTTAGAACTTGGAATGTGGGAATAGAAGGATTTTGAAATGTAGATATTTGGGGAGGAAAATAAGGTGAAGGCACTGAATTGCTTGAATAAGGTATTTGTTGATCTGTGGAAATGGAAACAGGTGTTTCAGATTGTGTGTTGTTGAAAAATGGTGTGGACGCAGTTTGAATACTTTCATTCAATGGTTGCTGTTCTTTAGATTTTTCTTCTTCAACATTTGAATTATTAACAGACTCTGGAAGATCAGAAATAATAGGTGGTTGAGGTGTCAGAACCGGTGGGTTAATTACTTGCGGTATTTGGGCAGCAGACGCCTATAAAATTAAATATATTAGGTGAGATATTTTATGAAAACAAACTAATTACTAGTCTCATAAACATACAAACCTTCTTTAAATTGTATAACGATACCATATTCTAATTAAGAAATATACTCAGCAGCCTACTTATGCACAGGGTACATTAATATATCTTAACAAAAGATTAAGCAGTCAAATCCATTTTTTTTACATATTGTAAAAAAACAATAGATGAAATAATCACAATGTGATTTATAATTACCTAATTTATTTTAAGTTTTTCTTTTTTTTCTTGTAAGAATTGATAATGGTAAAACAACTTTTTACAATTCTTCCCTAATAGTAATATGTACATAATATAGACTCAGACAGGTGGTGTCTGAGTGCCAAAAACTGGTCAAAGCCAAATATGTTTCTTAATTAGATAGATTACACAAATTCAGTGGGAGTACACGGGCTGAAGCCCCCCCCCTCTCCCAATCACAATTACTATATTATAATTATTCTTTTTTTTTTTTTAATAATTATCAAGTTTCAACTAAATAGTCAACTAGTAAGCAAGAACTTAAATTCGCATATGTTTTAACAGATTTGCTAAGCTTACATAAATAAAAAATGGAACAATGCGACCTGCTCTGCCATATACTAAGTGTTGAGTGAATCACTGTAACCTAACCTAACCATAATAAATCATTGTAAACGAAAAACAAATTTGAAGGAAGAGTGCCTAGGATATTTTGTTTTATCTTAATATTGCTTTTATTAGTAACAATAAAGGAGGGTTAAATTAAATTTTGAAAAAATATTGTATTTACATACCTATTTTCTTAAATTGATCAGTGATTTATTGACTGTGGTATGAACTAAATATATGAAGGAGAGGGACCTAGTATTAAAGTTTAAAATTTTGCTATAAAAATTGAACATTTTATAAATTTTTAACTTCAAATTAACTATGGTTTTATGAAAATTTTAACTTTTAATGCTTATAAACAATAATTTTTTTTTGTGTCATTAATATTTTCAAATAGCTATAGTAAAAACTCATGAAGAACCTTATTAAGTTTTTGACGAATAATTTTTTATTGACGTTTCTAGAAAAAAACTAAAATGAAATGTAAGTGAAGACGAGCTAACCAAAGTTAACAAACATTTTTTTAATATGTTAAAATTTTAATTTTTTTCTTTATTAGTTTAAAATTATTGAGAATTTTCTATTTTGACCTCCCAAAAATACCAACTAGATTCCATTTTCTACCAAAAACCATCATCAAAGTTGATGAGCATTTTCTCTACTACAAAAGTTGAAGTCTTAGAAACTCTTTCAAGTACCTCAACTAAATGCCTGAAATTATGAGACTGGATAAAATAAAAATATAACTGAAATTATTAATTTTCAACCCCCCCCCTCCCTTGAAAAATCTTACGTATGCCAATGCACAAGTTATACATAATTTCAGAAAATAATCAACTGTTAAAATGATTTTATATAATAATTAAAAACTAGCTTACCATCACATTGTTAACCACAGCTGGTTTTATAACTGGTGGTGCCGGAATATCCTTATTTTGATACACTTGTCGAACAGGTATTCTATGCAGGTACCCATACCCTATTCCACAGCCCAAACTTTAAGAATAAACAATTTGTTAAAAAACATTATCCTAAGAATTAATACTATTAAAGTAAGCTAAATGCAAGATAAAATTACCTTCCTTCGCCAGGCCATGCAGTATCTGGTGTAATTGAAACTTCTCTACAAGTATCCAATTCCACATTATAAACATATAATTTTAATGGTCTTCCTTCATGAGCTTCAATCAACATAAATAAATCTTCACTTTCATGCATTATAGAATCAGATCCAATTATATAATCTGTATGTGACCTAAGGCCAGCCTTATCAGCAGGAGAATTTGGATGGACATCCTAAAAATATGTACATTAAAAAAAAAATATATATATATATATAATTTAAAAAATGAAGTATTAATTAATTTATTACTAACAAGAATATGCCAGACGTTTTCATTGGCTCCAGCAAAAGAACAAAACCGTATGCTCACACCCAATAATCCTTGACCACCCCAATTACTATTTGGTATAATTTTTACTTCTCTAACTATTTGTGTTTTGCTACTGTATACAGCTAATGTAATTTCATTACCATCTCCATTTTTTAACATTTCTTTAAGAGTATCATTGTCTTTATCCTTAATAAAACATGAATACAAAAAATATAAATTTACACTATATTAATAGATACATAATTTGTTATTTTTCAATTCATTATACTTGTAAATTAAGAAGATAATAAAATAATTTTAGATTTAGGTACTTTATAGTCTATTAAAAATAAATTAGTTCCTATTAAATAATAAATATTTTAATATGTACAGGTACAGGAGTGATAGGAGTAATAGGTACAGGAGTGCATGATTATAATTGTTGAGATGAATAAATAATATAATATATATTGAAATATTATGAACTCTGAAATATTGTGTGTAGCAAAAAATATATTAACTTCCAATTTTATAATTTTAAAAGCTTCATCAATTCAACTTAACAGTTTTGGTTTTTTTTTAAGAATTTAAACTTAAATTACAAAGCTTAATGATAAACTAATTACCTATAACTACTAACTATTTATATATTATACAAGGTGTGTTAAAAAACTATCTTAATTTAAATATCTTTGGGACTCAACAAATTTTTTCAAGTGGTGCCAGCATAGAAAGCACCACTAACTAGGTTTGTTCTCTGGGAAATGAGAATATCCTAGCTTATCAGGGCCTTCGTGTAATTCATTCTAGTATCATCGCATGACCCAAATCTGGTCCTTTTCAATGACGATTTTAGTTTAAGACGTTTAAGGAATGATCAAAAAGCAAATGGATCTATATCAAGAGAGTAGTAAAGAAACAATTTGTAGAAATGCTATCTTCAGCAAAGCCTAACCTTTGAATAAGGTGCGAGAAATGGGCTAGTAAGTTAACGTGATGAAGTTGCAAACTTCCAGATGACCAATGTTTTGTCTTTTACATCCTACGGCATCACAAAATTAACTAAGAAACTCTAAATATTACTCTTGTCTTTACTCTTTATTTATCATTTTCTACTCAATACCGGTCTACAAACAAAAATTTCCCAACTATGTATAATTAGTTTCTGTGGAATAAATAACTTTTTGAATATAGGTACCTTCAACATTGTATATATTATATTACGAAAGTAAAATATATTATCTACTAATAAGCAGGTTAAGGTTATGACTATGTGATTATAATTGCTATTTATGTATAAAAATTAAATATAATGTTTTAAAAAATCATTGTTCAAACCATACTGATTACATACAAAGCAAATAAGTTCCTACTTCTCAGTCATTGAAAATATTAGTTTTTATCAATTTTTATACAGTTATTATTATTGTTAATTTATTTTTATTAAATTAAGTATAAATTTAATATAACTTACAAGTCTTGTGTTATTAATAGCCAATATGAAGTCAAAAAAGGCTTCTAAACCCGCTGCTTGGCCTGGTGAATTATCTTGAACCTACATAATAATAATTAAAAGGTAACATTCAAATTGGTTTCCAACTTTTATGTATATATTTATATAATAAATATTTTTATAAATTGTTCACGTAAATAAATTGTATTAAAATTTTGGATTACTTTCAAAACATGATATCCTTCTGTTCCTCCACCCGGAATAGGAGTACTATTTGCAGATCCCATTTTAATGTATCGTTTAACGCTATAATGTTTAATTCAACTTAGCTCTTAGAATTTCCCTAGCATAATACAGTGAATATAACAACATTAATTAATTTCAATTCAGAAAAATATAATATAGTTTTAAATGTTTTAATAAATTGTTAGTCGTAGCAAATGACGTGTAACTACAATGTGTTATCTCTTATCTTTAGATATGATTATACCCAAGGTGTATTGATAATAATTAATTAACAGCCATAACAGGAATACCCATTTCGATAGTATCACATTCATGGTACTCTGTGGTGGTACTCCAGCTGCTATTTTTCTTATCAACTGTGAAAAAATGTCTAAGAAAATTTTGATACTATCATAATATGCATGTAATATTTTTTGGCCGTCGTTTATTTTTTCTTTTAGTTCTCATTTAATTTTCTCAATTTTTCAAACTTTCCAGTACTGTAATTTTCTAAAATGAGTTCTTTAGTTAGACTTGCTCAAGTTACAAAAAAAATTGTTCGTCCGATGCCATTAGTTCAACGTCATATATCGACCTCTAAAAAAAATCAAGAAGTGTGCGTTACCAATACTGAACTAACAGAACATGAACCAGTAATATTTTAAATAAATATTAAAACATTTAAATATATTTTAATCTTATATATGCTTGTACAACATAAATCTAAATTTTAAAAATATTTAAATATGTGTGCGTTTACCTAATTGGTGATTTTTCATTTTTTTCTTTATTATTTCTTAATCACTTTCATTATTTAATTTTTTAAATTTAGAAAATGCTATTATGCCCCTGGATTGTTTTAAATTGTTAGCATTTTATTATAATTTTTGGTTTTTGTTTTTCAGACATTGTAAACAATTTTGTTTCATTATTATTATTCATTTAAGTTATAATAACGGCACAATGCTTTTATACTAAGTAAAAATTAAAAAATAGAATATGTAAAAATTGTTTTCATAATTTAATCGTGTTCTTAAAATTTGGACAAGTATTTAATTGTGTATTTAATGGATTAATGTACCGTTCAGACAAGTTCACATCAAAGGTCTACTATAATTATCATTTCAAATTAATGTATTGTAATATATTGTTAGCTTGATATAAAAACTGAAATTTAGCGAAACTGGAATCACTCGGTGACTGAAATTTTGTTTGCTATTCGGAGGTATCAGTTAGGAGAGGTTTTACTTTTCTCGGAAATTAAACTATAATATATTTTTCAAATTAGTTATTTACATTTTATTTAAGTAGTGAAAAAACTTTTTATGAATGAGTTTTTGATCAAAGATACTTTGTTTTCAAAATATCCATTAAGGGTTCTGGGTTATATTTATTTTTAGATCTTTAAAATTAGTTGACAAATTTGTAGTTAGGAAGAGGTTGTAAGGTCGATGATATCAATGTGCAATTAGTTGAATACTTAAGTTATATTCTTAGGTAAAATATTATGCTATAATTTGATAATTTTGAATGATATATTTGTTTAGCAAAAACGCAATTGGCAATCATATGGCTTTGAAAAAGAAGATGAGACAGAAGACTTGAATGCTATGCACGCTACTGGTTTTTTTTCAATCACTTTATGTATAGTAGGTGGTATATTTATGTTTGCATATATGCCAGACTACAATTACAAGAATTGGGGAGAAAGAGAAGCTTTCCTTGAACTGAGAAGAAGAGAAGATCAAGGCTTACCACTCATCGATCCTAATTACATACAACCAAATTTGATACAACTACCCACCGAAGAAGAATTAGGCGATACTGAAATAGTGATTTAAAATTATTAGTATCATAATGTTATGAAATCCCAGTTATGGGGTCTAGTGGATACAATAAGATGATTTTCAATAAAAAAGCAACCAAATGTTTTATTGTACAATAATAAATGTATTTATTTACCATGTCTATAGAGCATAGACTAATAAATTGTTTTATTATTCATTAAAATGATACTTTTTTTTATGTTTTATCATGTGATATATTTCTGTAAAATCTAATCCACAAATTCCACATGTCACCCGTTCATTTATGTTGTGTAATTCTCGATGCTGTTTTAGAGTAGCTAATTCGTTGAATATATTATCACATAATACACATTTAAATAGTTTATCCCCTCTGTGAACTCTAAAGTGAATATCCAAAGCACATCTAAAATATTAATAAATTATAATTAATACAATTAATTTACAAAATTATTTTCATAAAAATTATATACTTTTAATAACCTGGTACGAAATTGACCTAAACATACGCCACACATAAATCTCATTGGAACATCATTATTTTTAAACTCATTATAACATTCTGGATCATCAACAAAGTCTAGTTCTGGTTCCCACATCATCCCTATGATATCGTTATCAGCAGATGCCAAATTGTCAAACTTAAAATGTCCATATTGTATTTTTGTTGGGCTATTTTGATTATTATTAACTTGGATTGCGAAATCTATGCATGTATTTGGTTTAGATCCACCTTGTTCTAAACCATAATCTTTATATAATGATTTCATTATAGCTGCATCTATTTTGGCTCTACATAAACAAAATTAATTTAAATTTTTTAAATTTTAAATAGATATAAATCGTTTTTGTACTTACCCATAATCTAAAATAAACTCGTGATTATCAACTTTGTTGATGTCCATAATGTTTTATAAAATATCGATCAATGCACAAGTTGCATGTTCTTATACTTGTTGACAAATGAATAGTGTTTGAAAAACAAGATTTTTTCTGTTCCTGTAAAATACGTAGATACCTATTGAATTATAAAAGGGGTAAAATTACAGGCTCGACCGTGACAAATTTTATAGGTTTGAAGAGGGTAATCTTTTTTTTCACGAAGTATTTTGAATCATAAAATATTTCTAAGGATACTTTACAATGCCCAACGGTCAGTTGAGTAATTTACGAGGTCAATTTATTTTGTTGGATTTAGGTAGGTATACCCACTAATAAAACTGGTCGAAAGGGGTTAGGTACACGTGCATGCGACGTGTGTTGTTGTGTTCGCTGTCAGTATCTTTAGTGAATGGATACCGTCATCAAAAATAAATACAAATAAAATAATGATTTTAAGAGTAAATAAAAAATTCACTGCTTGAATTGGGAAAAAATTAAATGGGGGTGCAAAAATGTGAAAAAAATTTGCGTCACCACTTAGTTCATGCTCTGTAAATAAATATTTTACTTGAATTACATTTGAAAACAATAAATTAATATATATATATATATATCAACTGCAGTACAAAATTTTATTCTAGCGGGTCCTTGTAATGGATGTGTTACATTTTAACTGGAAGATTGATCATTATCCATTGTCTACAAAAACGATTGTGATGGAAGACGGTTTATGTAAATCCCCCACAAGCAACCTCAGAAAAAAAATTGGTTGTAAAATTATTAAATTATAACAATACGTTATCATTAATAAATCATTTTCAGATAAAATTCAACAACAATAAATTATAACCCCTCCCGAAAAAAAATTCTGGATACGCTACTGTGTACCTACCTATGTAATTAATCATGTAAAAACGATGGTATGAAGTCAACATTTGGCAGTCAGATTTAGTTTTAAAGTTAGGTACCTAATTAAAATTTATAGTAATTTCATATACACCCAGCAATGGCCAGCATGGTCACTTACTCGCTCGGAAAATTCGATCTTTAAATGCTTATAAAAAAAAATTGTGCCTATGGATTTTTAATATTTTTCAACTGATACGGTAACAATATATCAGGAGGCTTGTATATTTGCATTACATTTTTACACTTTTTGGCCCAACAGATAAAACTTTATTGATATTTGTAGAAAAAAAAGGTGGGTAAGTGGATGTCGCTCTGTTGTACAGTAGGTTACAAGTGGGTCACTGTATAATGGATGGTATTAAATTTGAATTCAATGATACAATATCATTGTATAAGAAAAACGATTCTGAGCGAAGACGGTGTGTCAGTCTAGGTTTAAGACAAATTATTTACATATCTATGGTATTAAAAAAAAATTGACCTATAATAAATTCCAAATTAATTATATCACATTATCACAATATCCATTAGGTACTTATAACACGTTTAACATCAACATCAATAACAAACCCTGATACTATCATAGAAGTACTATAATAGTACACTTCTAAAGGTTTCAAGTAGGTACCCACGAATAATATTATATAATCACAACAAAATAACTAGGTTTTTAATATGTAATTTCGTCCAAAATTGAACATAAAATGACTATGAAAAATAACTGTGCTCATATATTTTTTAGATTTTTTGGCTACAGTATGAACTATTTATGAGAATCTTTTTTTCAAATTTTCAATCCTTAGCTATAAAAAACTGAACATTTTATAATTTATTAATTACGATGGTTAACAATTTTCGAGATTTTGATTAATTTTGTCAAAATGCGATCTTTAAATGCTTATAAAAAAAAATTGTGCCTATGTATTTTTAATATTTTTCAATTGCTATTGTAACAATATATCAGGAGCCTTGTATTATTTTTTTACACTTTTTGGCCAAACAGATAAAACTTTATTGATATTTATAGAAAAAAAAAACTAAAAAAATTCAAAACTGAAAATGTCCGTAAACGGCTCAAAAAGAGTCATAATATTTTCAAAATTGTATGGTGTATAGGAAATGCTAATATAAACATTCAGTGAAATTTTCATTTATCTACAGTAATTCGTTTTTGAATTACAACAAAATAAGGAAATCGCCACATGAGAAATCGAGTCATGAATATCCAATGTTGTAAAAATTTGAATTTCAAACACTCATAAAAATTTAATTTGACTTTCTTATAGAATTTTTTTTTTTTGATAAATGTAGGAAATCTTATAAGGAATCTTGTATTACATTTTCATATCTTAGATTTAAAAAGAAAAATTTTTATGAATTTCTAACTCGAAATAATTTGCAGATTTTTCCATATTTTGTCATTTTTTGAACTTTAAATGCTTAAAAAAAAACCTGTGACTAACGATTTTTAATATTTAATATTTTCAAGTATTTTTACTCAACAAATAAATTTTTATTGATATTCATAAAAAAAAAAACTAAAAAAATTGGAAACTGAAAATGTCCCTAAACAGTTCAAAATAAATCAAAATATTTTGAAAATGTTATCGTGTGTAGAAAATGCAAATATAAACAACCACTGAAAATTTCATGTATCTACGGTTATTTGTTTTAAAGTTACACCAAAAACCAAAATCGATTTTATATAACCGTCGTTTTTATGGAACCTTTATATGGTTTTAAAATGTGTTCATGAAGAGCAAAAACTTCGTCTCCAAGAAAAACAAAATTTAAATTATTAACGGTGTCATCATTATTTGGTATTTGTGATTTCTCTTCTTTTAGACTTTTATAAAACTCGGTACATTCTATAACACCTCCATCTGACAATCTCCCATTTTTCCCAACATCAACATAAATAAACTCGTAATTACTATTCACCACTGCCATTAGAATTATGCTATAGAATCCTTGATAATTATAAAATTGAGCCCCAGTACCAGGTGGTTGCATAATCCGAATATGTTTACCATCTATTGAACCTCCACAATTCACAAATTGCCAGCGGTTTTGAAATCCGATTGAAATATCTTGACATTCTTCTTTCGATGTAGGAAACCAAAAAAAAAAACGGCGATAAGTGGATGGTATTAAATTTGAATTCAATGATATAATATCACTGTATACGAAAAACGATTCTTAGCTGAGACGGTTTGTCAGTGTGGATATTTTATTTTATATTTGTGTTGTTATTTCATATTATTAATACGATAGCCGGTTTGTTAAATTAATATTATAAAACTAAAATCGTTATTCTTGGTTATTTAATATGTAATTTTGTCCAAAATTTGATCATAAAATATGTAGTTAAAAAAAAAAATTGTGGCTTTATATTTTTGAGATATTTTAGTTACAGAATAACCTATTTACGTGGAACCTTGTTTGAAATGTTCAACCCCTAACTAGAAAATTTGATCAATTTTTAACTACAAAAATATTTTTAAATTTTAAATTTGATAAATGTTGTCAAAGATCGAACTTTAAATGCTTATCAAAAAAAAAATTGTGAGTAGGTATGTATTTTTGATAATTTTTAACTACTATTATCACAATATAATAGAAGTTTTGTATTAAATTTTCAAGCCTTTTGATCCTACAAATAACGTTTTATTGACATTTATAGAATCAAAAACTAAAGAACTGTAAAAAGAATGTCTGTAAATAGCTAAAAATGAAACAAAATATTTTGAAAATTTTATCGTGTATAGAAAATGCTAATATAAATACCAGTGAAAATTTAATGTATATTTGTTTATTTTTTATGGTCATTTGTTTTAGAGTTACAGCAAAAACCAAAATCGATTTTGTCGAAATCCAATTTCGAGTAAAAATTCCCGTTTTTTCTTAATTTTTCTTTTGTTTTGCCCCAACTAGATTCAATTTCCCATCGAAGAAGGTACTGAAGTTAAAAATCGAAGCATTATTTTGACTACTTATCGTGTGCTTATAGACACAGAAAAATAAATAATATAAAATAAAAAATATTTTTCACTTGTTCACAATTTTTTATATTTTATATTTCAATTTTTTTTTTTTTTTTATAGGAAAACATAAACACACAAAGTACAGATATGTTATTGAATGATGATGATAATAATATACAAGTTCAAGCTACTGAACTGATCACGCTGAAATTTTTTCTTCCAACCCAACAAACGTCTGTTAAAAAAAAAAACGAAAAATAACTGATCGTCAAGATGAATTTTTAAAAGTCTGCACCAAGGCTTTAACGACAAATGATATCACCGAGTATAATGCTCAGTGGCGTAGAAAGACTCGTTAGCGCCCCTAGCAAACCTAGGAAAATGCGTCTTTTTAGCGATTAAAAAATTGACGAAAATACGGAATGATATTTTTTAACATTTATTTTTTAGATATATAATTATGTAATACAATATAATTTAACTATCAGTTATTATGATAATGTTAATTTCAAACTTTAAAAATTTTCTTTTCTTGCTTTAAGGCTAGAGAATTCATTGATGATTTCGTCATATGAAATTTGTTTAGCAAATTCATGTTCTATGGATAAAATTGTCATGCTTGTTAGTCTCTCTTGTCCAATAGTTGATCTTAAGTAATTTTTTATTAGTTTAAGTTTACTAAAACTTCTTTCGCAACTAGCAGTTGTTACTGGAATAGTGGGATATATTCTTAACGCTATTTCTATGTTAGGATAAATATCTTGCAAGTTTTGTTTATGAATACATTTTAATAAATCAATCGGTGCCATACCAATCAATACAATTACCTGCATCGTACTATGCATTGTAATACGCACTATCTTCACTTTTAAAAATAAGATTATTGATATATAGAGGACAAATAATATAATAATATATACTACTTATTATTACTTATTATATCTACTTTATAGACGGGCCACGGGCGATCCGATAACGATAAGCTCGATGTTCAGTGTTCACACACACACACATGAAACACGAATTTAAAGATGAACAAGATAAACAAAATCATACACATTTCAAAATGTATAGTCGAATAGGTAATAAAGAAATGTCGTTTTGAAGGTAAAATAAAAATAAGTACCAATTTAAAAGCACAAATTTGCGCCCCTTCATAATTTGCGACCCTGGCGTAGGCACAGTTCGCCATACCCTTGCTACGCCACTGATGATGCTATTGGTATTAATGTTGCATCTAAACTCAAGAGGATGAATCAAACGCAATACATTTAGGTACGCTGAATCATTAATAAATAAAGTATTAACTCAAGGTTTATTAGAGACTTTAACATCAGAATCTGATATCTGTGAAAAATCATCTTTCAGAAAAACTCCCTTAAGCTCATATTCAAATTATTCCTATGTTTACCCCGCACCACATGATTTAAATACACAAAGTATATTAACATCGATCAATAACCTTATTCAACCAACTACAAATAGTAATGAACGCGTACACATGGACTTTCCGATACGCCTGCAGAAACTACTTCTGAAGACAGCTATCTGGACTAACGAAAACTTAAGTAATATGCCATGACACACAAGAAATACATAAATTAATATAAAAATAAATAATATTATAATTATTTATTATATTTATGTATAACGTTTTTAAATATTTACTATCAAGTTAAAACTTTTTTATTTTTCACGAAGTCTGATGTTTTGTTTTTATTTATTTTTTTTAGTTATTTTTTATTTTCTATATTATTAATGGTAAGGTAACCATCGTAAAATATATTTTATATTTTAAAGAGATCTTTAATAGATTTAAACTAAATTATTTTATCATATTTTATAAATATTAGAAAAAATGTTGTTTAAGTTAATAAATTGATATATTTACCTTCATGTAGTCCTTTTTCAAAGCTTCAAATATCTTTTTACACGTTTCTGGGATTATGTATGATAAACTAGGTGCAGATATACTAAATTTAAGATCTTCGTATGATCTGCCTGTAACAAGGAATCTAAGTGTTGCGATAAGCCTTTCTACTGCTGTTATTGCCATTCTCATTACCTACTGTACTTTGTTTCTCTATTTTAGGTCCAATAAGTTCAAGCAATAATTTGAAATCCTGTGAATCCATCCTCAAGTAATTTCTATAATCATCTGGATTATTTTCTTCAAGTTCACGAAGTAGTAGAATACTAGAATATCACTAAAATTTCGATTTAGCTTCCAATCCTTCACCCATTATGATCTTTTTACCCTTTTTTTGTAGTAACACGTGCATAGCCACACATGCAATAGCTATTTTTTTTGTTTCAGTTTATACATAATTAATACAATTTTAAAATTTATAAGTTATATAAGTTAACACAACAACAACACGGTCAAGATCGTAATGAAAACTGTTGGAGTGTTGGGTTTTGCAAAACTCCACGCGCCATGACTATAGTCTAATGCTACTGATTGCTTCTTAAAATCATACTGCAAAAGTATTTTTTAAATCTGATAAAAAATCATCAAATATTTGAGTTTGTATCGGGTGGCATGACCGCCACCATTCTTCTTTAAGTTGGCGGTCTAATAGTGGAGATGCACCAGACTTTTATATATTGTACCTGGACTTGACTAACTTCCACTATGACTAATATCCACTAATGACTCTATTGTTTGAGTATGAGCTCCAGTATCTATTTGGATCCACAAAATGTTCAGAATGATTTACAGTTTGATGAATAAATCCATGGTCCTTCAGAGAACTATATGCTCGCCACTGATCGCTGTGAATCGTTGTACCAATTTCTACCTCTCTTTCTATTATTGGTAATAGCGTTTGTCGATCCCTCTTTTCTACAATGAAAAATCGTCGTTCAGTTTTGTTATCATTATTACAACACAAACCAAATACCCACGGTCCCTGTATTCTATTTCCATAATTTCGTTGGATGTCTTCTACCGGAGTTTCATTTTCATCATTTGAAGTTTCGTCGCTATCTTCATGTGGTCGTGGGTCGTAATCACCACTTCGCGTTGTAAGCGACCGCGATTATATTTTCGTTTTCCCTGAAAGAGGGATTCATCTATCTGTACAATGTAACCAGGACCTCCCATTTTTGGTCTTTTTGAAAACTGATCAACAACATCATGACACAGATTGTACCAGTCAATTACAGTGGATTTACTTCTACAGTTCTACCTGTCCATAAAACTGCATTATGTACTGGTATCATATGTACTAGAGCTAAATTACTATGACATTTACCATTGAGGTCTGTATAAGTAAAAAATGGATTTCCTGCCGAATTGACTGATATGTTTGGCATCCTTTTTCGTACACCTCATAGTAACAATTTGTTTTAAAGTACCATCCGAATGTCTTTTTTTACTGGACCTTGTTGTTTCACGTAATTGTCTATCACGCATTCGGTGCCATCAATATTCTTTTTTGAGCAAACCAAACGATTGTAACTTAAAAGGTTTTTACTTTTTAAATATTCAACGCATTTCAATTCATCAATATTCAATTCATATTTCTGTTTCTGTATAAATATTCCATAGTTGTAGTAGAATTCATTTTAAATCGATACAAAACTAAATTAAGTAAATTAAAAAATATTATACACTCGTGAAAAAAAAAAATGGAAAAAATACACCAACAAACGAAATGACACGAAAAAATGCTAAATGGTAACTGAATGTTTAAATTATATTTTAAAAATACAATACGGTCGTAAAATCGGAAATCCATATCGTATCTATAGTAGGCACTATAGTGTAAAATATTATAGGTATCTGTTATCGGTAGATCACAAGTTGGACCGGTCCCAAAATATTTTCAAAACTGTATGGTGTATAGGAAATGCTAATATAAACATTCAGTGAAATTTTCATGTATCTACAGTTATTCGTTTTTGAATTACAACAAAATAAGGAAATCGCTACATGAGAAATCGAGTGAATATCCAATAATGTATAAATTTGAATTTCAAAAGCTCATAAAAATTTAATTTGACTTTCTTTTACAGAAATTTTTTTTTTGATAAAGGTAGATAATCTTATAAGGAATCTTGTATCAAATTTTAAAATCTTATATTTAAAAAGAAAAATTTTTACTAATTCTTAACTCAAAATAGTTTTGCTAATTTTCGTAATTTTCCATATTTTGTCAATTTTTGAACTTTAAATGCTTATAAAAAAAACTGTGACTTAAGATTTTTAATATTTTTCATCTGCATTTGAAAAAATTAACTTATAGGAGTCTTCTATACAATTTTCAAGCTTTTATAATTTCAAAATAAAATTTTATTGATATTTTTAGAAAAAAAACTAAAAAAAATTGGAAAGTGAAAATGTCCCTAAACAGTTCAAAATAAATCAAAATATTTTGAAAATGTTATCGCGTATAGAAAATGCAAATAACCTGTGGAAATTTCATGTATTTGAAAAATCGATTTTGCGTAAAATTCCCGTTTTTCCTTAATTTTTCTTTTGTTTTTCTTAGCGCTTTTGAAAATTAGTGGGAATTTTAAATTTTGACCTCCCCAATGCACCAACGATATTCACTTTCCAATCGAACAAGATACTGAAGTTGAAAGTCGAAGCATTATTATTCAAATACTTATCGTGTAAACAAACACGAAAAAAAAAATTAAAAAAAATTAAAACACACATCATTGTAAAATCAATACATTCATCGTTTCACTAAGAAAAAAATCTAAAATATAAGTAAAAATCGAAATACAGTCTAATACAGTCAATATACAGATAGTTAAATACAATTGGTAAAAGCACAGAATTTTGTGGTAAACGGACTTAATTCCTTCAATAAAAATCCGAATATATTTTATTTATTTTCCCACGCTACGAAAAAGTATTAAAATAAATTCAAATATAGGCAGTATATAGTAAATTAATAAAATATAAAATATTAAGTAATAAGTAGAAGTATGAATACTCAGAAATTTATACTAAATTACTCGTAAAATTATACTACATATACCTATAACCCATATATATATATATATTACCTATATTATATACATTATATTATATTACAATGTTATTTTCGAAATAATATTAAAACCTCCTAATATTGATACCAACATAATCGAGGTCAATATTAATGACCTCGATGTTTGGCAAAAATGTATTGTATAATCATCACGGACCTTATATAAGTAGACTGAGCATATAAGGTCGGCGGGGTTGGGTAGTGCGGTCCTTGGCAATTTACGGTGATATACGGCCATAATATACAGTAGGGTAATATTATTATGGTTAAACACAGTTTTTGTATCATCTAGTGCGCATGTGCTTTGTAATTCGGTAACACTCGAACAGCGCAGTCATGTCTGACTGCTAGAACTACATCCATACTCCGTCTACCATATAGTATTACCCTATGGTATAAGGTCCGTGTTATGTATAATCAGTAATCATGGGATGGGTTATTTTATGCTGTAATCACTAATCATCAAGTATCATTACAATTTAATTTATCAATCGTTTGAGAATTGAGAATTGAGAGTAGAACAAGAAGTCAAGAACTACAAACTACAAGTAGTAGTAGTACACATTACATATTTTACAATACTACATTACAACATTCGTACATTACAGTATTATAGTGAATTACATAGTCATACTGATTACAGACCTGGTGAGAGTAAATGTGTTACTTGTATTAGTTGTCACTATACGGGTTATTGGTGTACTTAAGAGTTAATATTTTTATTTTTTTTTTGTATGAGGAATATAGGTACTTAGATTCTTATAGAATATATTACAATTTTTATTTTTATTTTTTGTAATTACAAAACATTATTTATTTTGAGTCATGTTACTAAATTATTAAAGTTTAATACATTTTTAATATAGTTTTAGCCCAAACTATACATGGAATTATGGAATGAAGTTTATTCACTTCCTGTATGTGACATAGATACACATCAATTTGGGTTGAGCTGTAACCTAAAATTTGGTAATTTTAAATAAAGTAAGTGGATAATAGTGAGATCATCTATTATTTATTTCATTTACATTTTTTTGTACTTGTTATATAATACAGAAGTAAATTTTCATTATTTAAGTTTATCATGAGAAATGTTTTTGCTCTTTCTTTAGTTAAAGTATTATTGACTATTTGAATGTAATGAGATTAAATCATGGTGGAAAATGCAGTAAAAGAATGGTTATCAGAGTTTGCCACATTGGAAAAAGACGACTGGGCAACATTTGCCATAACAACATCGCAGAATAAGACACTTATAGAGTCAATATATGCTGTACTTGATGATATTCATAAATATTCTAAGGTAAATCTAATAACTATCAAATATGTTATGTAATTATAACTCATTTCTTCTTATATATGGATGATAATTTAATAGGTAGTATTTTCCCTTATTAATGATGATTTAAAAAATGTAATTAGGTACTACTAAAATAATATCTTTTGTACGGTTTTGATTTTTAAGCTTATATAGAACAACCAAAAATGTATGTAATAGGTACATACTGATACATTTTAACATTATTACATTATAATATTATGGATTTTCCATTTTTTATTATTGATTATTTAAATTTAGTTTACATTTACCAATTTTGTTTTACTGCAGAGCTCCAAAATATCAAAGTGTTGTACTGTTAATAATATTTGACATTTAGTTATTAAAAAAAATTACACTAACCACGGTTAAATAATTTATAGTTATGTAAATCATAAAATCATAGCATTTAGATAAAGAACTTTTTTTCTTGAAAAAAAAAAATTAAACAATAGGTAGGTAGTACTTTCAACTTAAATAATGATTACCTACATTGCATTATACTATAATTTTTCTGAATGAGAAATATATATCTACAATTGAAAATTAAAATTAATTTATATAATTTAAAATTGGTGGGTATAACTTGATATTTTAGCTTACCCAAATAATATTTATTTATAACTTTATAAGTATTGCATTTTCTATTGTACCTACTTATAACTGTTTCATGTTCATATTGGATTTCTTGCATATTATCTTGTATAATTCTGTATTGTTATAATATTAAAATATATTATAATTTAGTTTAGGATCTGTTTATACTGAATAGTATTCTGCTTTTGATTAAACTTAAATCATATAAGTTATAATTTGAATAAAATGTTATTTATTAAACAATAACTAACAATATTTTCATTGTATTTATACATTTACATAATATCTAAAAATAAATGTAATTATTATATTATTATAATATTTTAGTCTAATAGAAATAGGAGTTTATTACTGAGTTATATTTTATGTATAGCCTTGTGAAGTGACTGGATTAAAAACTTATGAAAGTGATTAAATAAAATAGTGGATATAATATGCATAAATTAATCCAACAAATCATTAAAACATAGCTTTTTTATTATGTCAATAACCCTTAATAACCAATAATAATAATAATCAATTATATAATATTAATTATTAATATTTAAATTTATTGTCCTATTAAGTATTTTGTCACTCCCTGTAAATCCCCTGGGCAGTGGCGCACCTAGGGCTAAAATTTTGAGGGGAGGGCTGTACCCCACACCTGATATTACATAAAAAGTAACCCATTGGCCCCCCATACCCCCACACCCCTATATATATCCCATTAAAAATATAAAAAAAAAAATACAAAAAGACCAAATATTTATTTACTTATAATAAAAATATACTGTCTGTGGTAAACAGAATAAAAATCCCCAGACTTAAATAATAAGTTTAATGTTTACTCTCACAGCCGCATGAAAATGATTGAGCAAATATTTTTTAAAAACCAATTAGTGTAATTACCACATTATTAATATTTCATTTCAAATATTACACTAATAATTAGCTTTTAAAAAATATTTGATCAATCAATTTCATGTTTGTTTCAATATTATAGGCTGGGAGTTATATTTCCTAGGGTCGGGGATTTTTTTCTGGGGTTGTTCGTCGGATGTTTTTTCCGGGTATTTTTATTCCGCAACTCACTGTATCTATATTATAGTTCAATGCATATATGTACTGTAAAATTATGTATAATAATCTTAACAATACACCAACATAAATTGATTACTTAAAACAAATACAGGCATACAGCTACTGATATTTACCATATTTATTACAGGCAATATAATATAAAGTTTAAATAAAAATTAGATAATTTAATTTTTTTCCTAAAAGAAAAAAAAAACAAGTAATTCTTTCAGTAGAATTTTTAAAGGTTTAATAATATTTTAGGTAAGAATTGAATAATTTATTTTGCTGGGGCTATTACAATTTTTGGTTACGCTTATGCCCCTGAGCCATCAGAAACTTAAAAGAAAGATGTTTCCTTTAATTTTACCAAGCATTGTGTCACCATGGGTGACTTCTTAATCTTAATCATGTTATATTACAAATTTGTTGCTATGTATGTGATCTACTGAGCAAAAATTGAGTTTAGTATGTGACCTATCAAGACTATTATCTATATTATGTACAGGTACCAATCTATTAACAGGCAAGATATATTATTTTACGTTTTTAAGTTATACAAAGAGAGTATTTTGCTGACATTTTTTTTTCATTAATATTTTGTTTACCTAATTTTGACATTATTACATTATTAAATGTAATTCTGTATTGTTTTATATTTGTATTACCAATTTATTAATAATAATAAAGTAACAGCATTTTATGATTTTTAAATTAATTACCGGTCTGGTACGTCACATACTAAACAAACGCTTACATTTTCAATTTTCATCCTGTCTCAAATATCATTACTATGAATTTATTTGAATAATTTGTTAAATATTATATAATCTATGGTACATTTAAGATAGGTAGGCACTATCCTAAAAAAGTTATTAAAATTTATTGTAAAATTAATATTAATATTTATTGTAAATAAAAAAAAAAAAGGAAAAAGTAATAGCAATTTTACCTGGATATTATTATAATTATTATGAAGTTACTCAAACAATTAGTGGGGAATTTAAAAAAAAAAGAAGACATTGTTTAAAAGAAACTTTTTGAAAGATCATTTTCCTATTATACTAAATTTATTGACCAATTTTTATTGTCTGTTTAACAAAAATTTCAATTAATTTTGCAGTTAATTGATCGTATTTGTGGTGCACTTTTTAATTGTTATCGAACTGAAGAAACCGATTTACATTTATTTGTACTACTGTTTATACCACATTTAACATACAGTTATCTTAATTCTATTGCTCATGTTGACAAGCAAGTAAGTTATATTATATTTTATACCTTACACATTTCATGTGGTTATAATTCTGTAAAAACACATAATAATAAATATTTTTTTGTTACATTCCCTACAATAGCTTCAATGTTCTTAATGCATACATTTTTATTATTCTACAATAATTAATATTAATGTTAAATGTTCTTAATTTTTTTAAAAAAAAACATAATTTTATTATATTATTTGAAATGTTTAGTCAATTACTACGTTTATATGATGGCGTTAAAACGCTCACGCTATGTAGCTTAAGAACTTAAAACCGTTTTATTTGCTTAAACTTGATTATGTATATTTGATAAACCGGTTTATGCAAATTAAACGGTTATAAGTTCTTAAACTACATAGCGCGAGCGTTTTAACTTTCAAAACGGTTTAGTTTTAAACCGTTTTAACGCCATCGTATAAACGTACTATATGATACTTATTTAGTAGTCTTATATATATGGAAACAACCAAAATAGTTTTTTTTATACATTTTAGAATATAGTTTTCAAAATGTTCATAATTTCTTAATAATTTGGTATTTATTAATACATTATAATTTTGTGATTAGAGCTGTCGTAGTATTGAAGCATTACTAATTGGAATTTACAATCTTGAAGCTGTAGATGAAAATAATACACCTAGATTTATATCATTTCGTTTGCCATCATTAGCTCAGCCATCCATTTACCATGAAGTATGTATTTTAATTATTTACTGAAAACTAAATGTACCTATTAAAGAGTTGAAAAAAAAAATTAAAAAATAACTGACGAACCTTTAACTATCTATTTATTGTACAATTAATTTACCTATTTAATGTTTATAAATATTGAAGCCTAGTAGTTTGGCTCCAACTTCATTAACAGAGACTGCCATTCGTCGATTAGAACAAAGAGACACACACCCAGTTCGCCGAGGTCCTTTTAATCAAATTGAAAGACTATCTGCGTCTAATAGAATGGAAGTTCTTAGTAATTTATATTTTATTTACTACAAAAATTTAAATCTCCTGCCAGAAGTTTATAATCCATTTGATCGTTTTTATAGAGTTACATCTAAGTAAGTTTATTCGTTGTTTAATATTACATTATTACATCATGATTTCTCATTTTTGTCTTACTATTATTGATATAGAATGGTTACTCAGGGTTATTTTCATAAGCGTTCAACATCATTCAGTAATTCTGATATATCAACATCAACAACATTACCACGTATCCCACTTTCTCCAAAATTTTTAATTCATCTACTCTACTGCTTATATATATCAATGTAAGTATTTTGTATTTAAATGTTAAGTATTTTAGCTTTTGATAAAAATATGTAATAAAATGTATAATAATGATATAATTTTTATGTATTTAATAGAAAAAATATGTTTTAAATTTGTATTTATTTGTTTATTGTAATAACCTAGGTACCTAATTTTAAAATGATCCAATCACAGATATATAAAAATACTAGATAGCCGACTTTAGTATTATTATTGTCGCCAATAAAATGGCTGCCACGTTACCTAAGAGGTGAATATTTATGTTGTATAGTATTGATAAGTAACGATGTTACATGTGGATATATTGCATATATTAATTAATCGTGTTATATACAAAATAGTATCTTATCACCTACCGTATCAGTTTAATTTGTGAACAGTCACCTCTTAAATAATGATTGGCGGCCATTTTGTTGGAGACATTATTTTATACGTATGGACTATAGCAGTCGGCTATCTAGTATTTTTTATATATCTGTGGTCCCATTAACTGGTGTAGTGAGGCTAACAGACACATTTTTTTGCTGTGTGTTACACATGTAAATCAAAACCAGTCACAAATCTAATCGGTGAATGAGTCAATTAACTGTTGGTCCAATAAGGGGAACACTATATTTTCTTTTGTATACTTGAGTTTAATCATAATTTAGGAGAGAGATGTCTGTATTTACTTAAGTTTTTACAAAACTATTTTTTAGACTAATATAGCCACCTATACAAATTAACTTATCAAGGATTAATCTTTGATTTTATATTCAAAATATTAAATCCATGAAATTTGTAAATTTTAATTGTTTTCATTTATTTTCTGTTTATAAATCTTGGAACTCAACATCAAATTAAAATATTCTACCTTCTACAAACTTTAAAAATTGATTATTTAATATTAATTTATATCATGAATGTTGTTAAAGATTTAATTGTGGAAAAGCGGAAGCGTTTCAAGCTTTAGAAGATATTTATTACCGTGCATGTTACAGTTGTTATTGTGAAGTGATATTATTAGCAAATGCAATTAAAAATTCTTGTCAGGGATTTTTTGAAGGTCAGTTACAGTAAACAGTAATATTGTTTTGAATTTTATATATACTCATATATATTTATTTTATATAAACATTTAGGTGGACAAACACCTAACGTTTCATCAGTTGGAACACCTGTAAGTAGTAATACTTGTAGCACACCAGTATCTAAATCAATGATTACAAATGCATCATTTAGAACTAAAAAGTTACCAGGTAATAATATAAATTAATATTTTTCTTAAATATATTATGTTATATTATAAAACAAAACAATCCGATGTAAAAATAAGCCAATGGTCACGTTATCGAGGCTTTTCTCTTAATAAAAAAAAAAAAAAAAACAATCTGAAATTAGGTGGTCATGGTGAATGTTTGAGTTTATTTGTCAAATAAATAATTTTATAATGTTTAAGATACTTCAAAAAAAAAAAAGTCGAGCGTGTAAGAAGTACGCGGGGATGAAGTGAAACTTCTTTCAGTCATACAACTGATATGAGGTTTTGTAATAATAATAATAATAATAATCTTATGTTAATTAATGGTATATATATATTTATGGTATTAATAATGATATATCAAGTAGGTACCTTCTACAAAGTATACATGTAGGTTACTTATATATAATATAAATAATTGTACTTGTACCATTTTCTATCCAAGTATAAAGGAAACATATTGGTACGTTGGTAATGGTAAATATGTAGATGAAATCAAGTATTAATTAAATATTTATTATTATTATTTATTAAATAGTTTAATTAGTATAGTATAGTTTAGTCATACCATTATGCAATTTACCTGCCAGAATTTAATTAAATACATTAAGTTATATTTTGTTTTCTCACCTAAAAACCGTAATACATTAAGTAATACCTACTACCTACCTTTATAATATTATGTGTAGGTACTTAATTTATACTTTTAGACCAATGGACCAAAATATTTACTAATATCAGTAGTAATTCATGTCCATACATATAATATAACCCTACTATTATGTATATAATATATAATACATATACATCTATAAAATACATTAGTCATATTATGTAGGTACATAATATATATATCAATTTGTTATTCATAAATTATTACATTTGATATTAAATAAATAAATATACTTGATAGACCATAGACATATATATTGAGTAATATCAAATTATGTCATATCATTATACAATTGAACCATCAGAGTATTATATACTATTTGAAAAATATAGGTGCGTTGGTCATTGTAAATGTGTCAAGTATTAACTAAATATTAATTATTATTATTATTATTTATTAAATACTTATAGTATAGTCATATAATATGATTAAATTCATCGAGTTATATTTTTAATATACATAATTTGACTCACCTAAAAATAGTATATTATATATATTTTTATAATGTTCCGGCCGAACTCTCATATTCCGCGACATTTCTTTTACTCACCGCGCACTCTGGAATATTTATTATATATGCGTTTTCGCTTTTATCAACTTGACTACGGAATATTGTTTATACGTTTATACTGATTTGTTTATAAACAAAACATTGTACCGTTTTCGTGACGCCCGAGCGTCCGTGACGGTCAGAGCGTCACTCTCTTTTTTTTCGATACCCCTCACATAAGAAGTTTCACTTCAAAAATATAATGACAATGCATTTTAAAATTGTGTTTTTTGCAGCAAAAAACTTTCCTTACGCTGTCTATACATAAGTACTTAACTAATAGTTTTAAGCATTTAAGTCTTATGTTTTCTTCTCAGGCAATCTTTTAATGACCTTGTATTTTTAAAAATGTATCTGCACATTTCAAATATTTAAGACATTTTGTGTAGGATGCTTAGTGCGGATTGCAAATCATTTAAATTTTAATCTTATTATTTTAGATGACATTCCAATTCAAAATACACAAGGAACTTTTGACGAAAGTGCTGATGCTGCGGCAAATTTATCATCAATAACAGAAGAAACTAATGATTTAAAAGATCTGAGTGCTGAATCAGTACCGGTTAAAAGGAGTTTGCCAAAAATTGCTGCTAATTTCGGCAAAAAAACTGCTGAAAAAATAGCTACTGCTGTTAAAAATTCTGGAAATATAAAAAGTTCAAAGTTAAACACTCAAAATGGCTCTGACATTTACGAAACTGATGAAAGTGGTATTGATCTAGCTGGGTCTGACATATCTGATACTAAAACTGGTTTAGGACATGATGACAGAACTACTATGACACCATTATTAAATAGAAGAAATCCCAGTATGTCAGTTGAATTAGAATCTTCTAGATCAATTCAGGTAGTTAGTTTATGTTAACTTTTTATTTTTATTTCAGTCTAATAAAAAATTGTTTAATCTACCTGATGATAATTTAAGTTTTTCTTGAAAAACATTGTTACATGTACAATGTTTTTTAATACATATTTTCAGATGGGTGTAAACGTAAAGTGTTACAAAGAACGATTCCATTAACTTATAAGTTATAACCCTCATTCTTCACTATTCATATTGGTAATACTATTAATGTCACATACAAATTAATGTTCTAATGACATTTGCTATTATTTTACATGTGTATAAGTTGTTGTAGTGCTTAGTATTGTTGGATACTAGTTCACTTTTAGTTGCATGAATATTTTTAGTAGTTACATATTTACTACATATTGTAGCTAAATTACATTTTTTTTCTTCAATATTATATTACCTACTTTCAATGCAATTTATAATAAATACTCACAATTCGCATTGTTCAAGACAAAACTGTACTGAGCTATTATAAATTGTGCAAAGTAACTTTTGAGTAGTGATACATTTTAGTCATTACTCGTTAGTTAATTGAGAAAATAAAGTAAATTATAGTCATAAACACAATATACTGACCACTGGATATATTATTATATTGAATAATTTAGGTTAATTTCATTATTATTTTATCCAAGTAACATAAATTAGTTTATAAAAATTATTGGTGTAGTTTGTTGAAATGTAACATACGGTGTGTAACAAAATCAATATCGTCGTTACAAAGAGCTTTATTGTTAATACTAATTGTCATAATAATGATATAACCACATGGATAAAATCCAACATATTATACATTTATACAATATTCTAGTACATTAGAATGAAATGGCAGAAGATGGAATCGAAGTATGAACTACGCAATTTGATTTGAGGCGTATTTGAAATATATTAATCAATCAATTTTTTAAAAGTATATTACTGATCATTGGCAGTAAAATTTAGTTAAGAATATTTATTAAATTTATGACAAACAAAACATTATTTTTATTAATTGATGATGAAAATTTTAATTAAAAATAGATATTTAGGTTTTTAGGTTTTACCATAGATGCAACTAGGGTTAAAATTCTGGGGGGGGGGTAAACAAAACTATTTAAAATAACCCATAGAGGGCTTATATTTAATTCATTAAGGGATATTTGTGGGGGGTTAAATCTTTGTTAGGCGGCTAAGCCCCCCTAGTTGCACATATAGGTTTTACCTAATATTTTATTGACCATTTTTTGCTAATCACAGGATACTTGTATGTTTCAATCATCTTCACACATTGTTGTAATAATTTTGGAGCTTAATTTTATGTATAATAAATTGTATATATATTTTTAATTTGAGTAAATTGTTTATGTTACAGATTGAGAGTACAGCTTTATGACTTGCAAATCAAATAATTTATTATATTGGGCTTATGGACAAGGAAGTTTGGTTTGGTGTGATTTTCTTATAATGTATCAAAATTATTTAATAGACCTAGAATTTTGTTGTGATAATCAAGATTGAATGTTTATATTATTTTATCTTATACTGTATGTACTTAATTAATTTTAATCTTGTAATTGAAATTGTTATACTGTTTATTAATAACAAATGTTATTATTTAAATTAAAATCTTCAATAATTTAAAATAAACATTTTTTAGTTTTTTTTTCAGTCAAAAGTATTAAGAAGTACCAGGTACCTATACAGTATACAGTTTTATATAATACCTGAGTATAAAAATAATAATAATAATAATGTTAGACCATGGGTTGTAGACTATACTACTGTAAGCAAATTAAATAAAGAAATTATTAATTTGAAATTTAAATTAATTTTTTACTGAAATCACCAAGCCAGTACAACTGGTCAAAGATTTAAATAGTCCTGTGATGATTTCTATTACACAAACAATAGTTTCATTGGAAAATTGAAAAAAATATTTGATTTTCAGTAGTAATCTATACTCCATTCTACTTAATAGGATAATGTAACCGATGTGCTGTTTCCGTCTTGCACACATGCCACATGGAAAATTATTGTTTACCAGTTTCAATAGTGTGCTGTTAGTTTTTATATTAGAGTGAATTGAACTATTTTAAAATTTAAAGGTAATATTATCCATTAAGTAAGTTATGATTTTTTTGAAAATTAACATAACTTACATAAAAATAATAATGCCAATAATATTCTATGCCGTACCAGTACCGCTGCCCTCCACCCACTCATAAATCATCACCGCCAATTCTACAATTGTTTCTGACCAATTAATTAAGAAGTCCAGCTACGTACAGCAATCAGTCTCATATGCACAAGCCAATGTACTATTAAGTTGAATAGAGTATAAAAAGAATGTATTACTTTATTAACTGTGTACCCTATACTTTTCAAGTTAATAATTTTGCATTATAATTATAATTTAAATATAAAATATATAAAAATAATACACCGTGAAAATATTTTGAATACTTTTATTTGTATACAGGGTCTTATAAAAATTAATAAAATACACAGTTGGCTGAAAAACTTATCTAACATGTAATAATTCTAATTGTTCTCTTTAAATACTATACTGTGAATTTGTAACAAGATATACATCATTAAGGGATATTTTATGTTCACACAAGTTAAATTAATTACAACATAAAAATATAATTATTCTAAAATCATGTTTGGTGTACATAAAAAAAATATAATAAAATATTAAGTAGTATTATTTCTTATTTGAATACCTATTAATAATAAACACATGAAAAATTATTGGTAAGTCAAAATAAACTTAATTACATAAATGAGAGATGATTACACTATTATATTTTTTTTTTAAGTGGATGCTACCCATGCATTTGCTGTTTCTGCCTCACACACGTACGATATAACAAATTTTCATTCACTAGTTTCAATAGCTTGCTGTTAATTTGATATTTAGGTGATTTGACCTATCTTAAATTTTTTAGATAATAACATTATCTGTGCTTAAGCGTTAACTTTTAATCGATATTTTAGTTTTAATTTTTTGATATTTTACATACTCATATCTAGCTTTAAAATTTCGAAAATTGTTTCGCTTAAGCACAGATAATGTTCTTACCTAAAAGTTTTATAATAGGTCGATTCACTCTAGTATCAAAACTAACAGCACACTATTGAAACTAGTGAACGGCAATATGCTTTATCGTGCGTGTGTAAGACGGAGACAACAAATGTATGGGTAGCAACCTCATAAACTAAAATTATAACTAAATAATTTTTAATGTAAACCGACAACATAATTTATATTGTAAATACCATAAAAGTTAAAATAACATTTTACATATTTTAAATAAATAAAAAAAGAGAAATTAATATTCAAAAACATGATTAATTCTATAACTTTCTATAACTAATACATTTCAACCAAATTTACTTTATTGTATTATAATATAGTACTACTAATACTTCACAAACATTAAGTGTAAATCCTTAAGGATAGATAAATCAATATTCATATCAATTTTTCTAGTTATTATTTGGAGAAAAAATTAATGAAATACAATAAAAAGTAACCGCCTTTACCAATAAAACAATAACATAGTTAAAAAGTAAACATTTTGAAAATTATATTTCAGAGCATAAAAAATATGTTGTTTTTCATAATAAATACTTATTGTATTTAACATAAATGTATTAACAATTATTCATATTTAACCAATTTGGAACATAATACTGCATTTAAATATACAAGAGAAAACAGTTAAATATTTATTGAAACATAAATAATAGTTATTGATATGCTCAAAAAAATTATGAAAATTACAAGTACCTCTTCAGTAATTCTAAAATACGAATATTTTCTTAATAATATGTCAGATTCAAATAACTATTTGGGAACACTGTAAATGGTCATTTTTAATTTAATAGTTCGGGTAATAAAAACAAAAATCAAATTTAGTGTATAAGAAGGACATATTTTGCTTGACCAATTGAGGTAATAAGACCAACATATTCAACATATTACATAATTAATATGAACTTAAATTAATACTCTTCTACAAAACAAGATATTTTAATAATTAAATAATACCTTTTGCAGTTATTACATTATGTTACAGAATTTTTGTGTATTCACATTTATTGAAGTATCCACAATTTCTTCATCTGCCTCAAAATTGTTTTGAGTGTTTTTTTCTTCGGTTTTTTCATTATCACTATTGTTTTCACAAATAGCTGACTCGGGTTCTATGGTATTTTCTTTTTCAACTATGATTTCTGCTATAGAAATATTTGATTTATCTTCACTTAATGAAGTGCCATATGATATTTTTTGAAAAGGATATTTCATCAAGTTCCACAATTTAAGTATCTTAGTAGACTTTTGTTCTTGTTCTGCTGAATCTTCGAATTTTCGTTTTCGCTCATTATTTAATACTTCTTTTTCCAGTAATAAAATATCATCCTCAAACGTAGTATCTAAATCCTTATAAGAATGTAATGGTGCTCTTGCTGATATATTAAAGTAAGACGTGGGTGACCCAATATTATTTAATTCTGAATAATCATCTTCCAAATCATGTGAATCATTATCATATAAAGAATCACTCGGAGAATATGGAACATCTAGACATTTAATTGAATTTACCTGAAAAATTAAGTAGTTTTTTAACTGAGATTTGAAATTGACATCACATATTAATTAATAAGCGATATAAAAGTAAAACATTTATATTAATACCTAATTTAACAATAAAATAGAGTTACAACAATATAAAGTCTCAAGGTTTTTGTATAGGACGTTACAAAAAAAAAATATATCATGAAACTGTGGTCAGCATAAAAAGTATTTGAAATTAAGTACTTATTACTCAAAAATATACTAATTAATTATATGTATTTATTACTAATGACCAGTGTTCAAACTTTAAAGGTTATAAATAAGGGGAGATAGAAAATATAATTTATAACAAGTGGAGGGATGAACCCGCTCCATCCGAAGAATGGTATACAAAAAAATATAACATATATACATGTTTTATTCTTCAATCAATTAATGATATTAGTTCTTGAGCAGAAAAAAACAATTAACCTCAAAGTAAATACTTATTTAAATATATTTCTTTATTAACAGAGGAATTATTTTCATTAAAAATCTACCTATCACATTCCTCTTTAAATATGATCACTTAAGGACATTAAGTTAAGGGAAACCAGTAATATTATCATTGGTTATTCATTTAAGACAATATTTTGTATGAATATTTTTGTTTTTTTTTCCTGCATTTTGATAAAATGAGCTCATTACTTAGTGATGCTAAGTTTATAAAATATTAATCTAACCTAAAATAATTAGATTAATTATTTTTTATGCTTCTATTTGAACAAAATTAATATATTCCATTTAATTTAAACTTACTTGAATATCTTTTTCACCGTTTTTTACATCTGCTTCATTTGAATTTTCATTTGAGATATCAATAGTTTCTGATTCTCGATCTTCTTGGGTGCAAATTGAACCGATAGTAATATTACGATCAGTATCACTATCCATTTCTAAATTTGGTTCTAACGATGATGTATTATCGACATCAAAATTTATGCTATCAGTTTTATTGTGGTTTCCATTTAATTCACTGCCATTAGTTTCTACAGATTTATTAAGTTTTTGTTTCTCATCATCTTTGTCGGTTTTTTTGGATACAACTTTTTTTAAAGTCAACAAATCATCACCATTGTTAATGAATAAGCAACGGGTATCTTTTCCACTCACCACAGCTTCTGTCATTTTTTTCTTCTAAAAAAAAAAAAAAAAATATTCATATTTATAAGATTATTGAAAACATTTCTCAAATTTCAGAATTAATTAACTGGAAGACCAATTCCATACAGAAACTGGCATCTCCGTAATACATTAATAATTATATAGTTTTAACGAGTGTGTAGTTAAACGACAGATCATTTAAAATTTAATTTGACTCAAATTTATAATTATCTCTATTTCAAAGACTTATGTACACCTAGAATTCATAATAATATTTATGTAGTAGACCTTATTATAAATGTTTATACACAATTTATAACGCACATTTTACAAGTTAATACAATTTCATCAAATTAAATTGTTAATTCATATTAGCCTAATGAGAATTAAAAAGGCATATATATGTGTATAAAATTCCAAATTAATTATATTTATGTGTCATCATTGGTTATATTTAAACTTATTAATAGATTGTAGTTTTCAAAAGTATGTGATTATTCAAAGTTCATCAAATTTACTTATTGTACAAAAAATACTATGTTTATATTGTAAATATTCTTTTATTTATAATTAAAAACAGTAAAAAAAATATTTATTTTTTAATTTATATTATAGGTAATTTTCTTTTTAAACATAAAAGCTTAATTCAGTATTATTATTAATACTATACATAATTATTAGGGTATATTATTTAATTTTATTATTCCTATATCTTGAAATTGTATTCAATTTCAAACAAATTAATATTTATATTTTATGACAAAGTAAGACACCTTAATAATGAACACAAACAAATTAAATCACTCTCCACAATGATAACAGTCTATCATAATCAGTAAGCGGATGTCAGCGCACTGTTTGTTTTTTCTCTCTGGCCCATGCGCAAAAAGACAAAACGGCTAAACACATAATGTTTTTTTATTTATGTTTTTGAGAAACCTATTTGAGTAAAATCACCCATCACAAAAACGATAGAGAATAATATTTTTGAGATATGACTTATCGATTTGTCTAAATATTGCCTCAAAATAATTTAAACCAATTTTTTTTTTTAATTTGAGTCGAATAAAAAATTGCAAAATAACTATAACAGATACAACCTATTTAAAATAGATAATATATAATATCATATTATAAATATAATATCATAACCTGGTCATTTTACCATTGGATTACTCAAAAATCAGAAAAAAATGATTTTAAGTGAGTGTTTTATCTATTATGCACGTGGGTTTGAGAAAAAAAATATTGCTCAAATATTGTCTTAAGTATTTTCATAAGCCAACAGGTTAACTATTAAACAAAAATGATTTCCCTAATTAAATGTTATTTCTCATTATTATGATCATCTACTTGTTTTATATGAAACAATCTACCACTAATTACATTTAAAATGAATGACTGACAAGTTATATATTGTTATTCAATATAACTACAAGAACTACAATATATATGTATAATTAAAAATGGCAAATGCATATTGATAATAACTAAACATTTACATACACAATGTTTGAAGAAAGTTTGGAAAAATAATATATAGAAAGATTAGGTAAAGTATGAAATATCTTTTAATCGTGCAAGTACAAAGTCTAGTATTTATTTTACTATAAATTATTTATATTTATATAAACTAGAAGTACAGATAAAAATATGATTTTTAAACAAAATTGTTTTTAACTTTGTTATAATACATTATGTGTAAACTGAATCATACAAAAAAATTTTTACTTTTATAAAATAAAACCATTGATGTATCTAGGATGCTAATCAAATAAACATTACTAATATTCTTAAATAGGTACATCAATTGTACAAAACATTAGGAAATATTTTAAATTAATTCTAATGAAAAGATAAATGATAAATAATAAGTTATAATAAATGACAAATTATAAAAACAAACTGTTATTATTCATGGGAAATATTAGAGATTATTATAAAATAAAATGGGAATATGGCAATATATGTAAATAATAATTAAATGCATGAAAGATTAATTAGAAAACTTCAATTCCTCAAAATCTGTTCACCATCATGTTCATCATAGTCTTCAAATTCATCATTTTCGTTATAATAATCACCATCTTCTTCCTCAGTGTCCGAATCATTAGTATTATGTAATAGTTGTACACGTGTAAATGCTAAATATATTTCATTCAGATATTCTGGGGTGTCAGGTACAAGTTTGATTTTAGATTTCATTTCTCCTTCCTCATCTTCGTTTTCATCAACTTCATTATCTTCTTCAGAATCATTATCATCTTCATTAATATGGTTGTCACCATTTAGGTTTTGTCCATTTTCAGGTTGTAAACTATCAGAAGGTTTATAAGAGAAGTCAACTATTATTTGCAAACAGGGTTTTTCATGTACTACTGGATGATTACATGTACCAAATACACACATGGATTTGTAATCAATACTAATTATTTGATTGGATGCATCATTCTTCCAGTAAAGTTTACTTTCAGCAACATACAGAGTGCCTTTTCCAAATGTAGCCTCGTCAACTATAAATGTAACATTGGGTTCACAGTGCTGAATTGATTCATCTTCTTCATTAAAACTAGCAAGAGTATCCATTTTTATTCTATGTTTATATTATTAATTATTACTTTTATATGGAAACTATATAATTAACAATATAGGTACCGGCTTGACACTGAAAAACACAAAACAAATAGCCTAAGCCTAAATAGAAAGAAAACAATTAACAACTAAACAAAACATTTAAATACTACTGGTACAAAAAGCTTAAAACATTATAATTTCTTAGGGTGTTACAGTAAATAGTAAATTATTTGAAATTGGCATAATTGATTTAGGAATTCTGTTGTTTATGCTATATTCAAAATACAAAATGTTTTTACTTGTCTACCAAAGAGAGAAAATATCTTAGGGTAGGTAACTTCATTATGTAAATATATTGTGTCTTATCTATTTTCTATGATAGGTGAGTACAAAAGAAAATTAATTAATTTCAATTAATAACAATCATAATAATATAATAGTATTTATAATTGTAAATTGTAAGTTGTAATTATTAATTAGTTCAAATTCACTATGCAGTATGACCTAATGAGAAACGGCTTATGAACAAAAAATACAATAACTACATTTCACAACATTAGCGGCATAGCAAAATGAACAGCTATGGCGGTATTTTTAAGAGCCACGTTTATACTTTATTGCGAAATATCCAATGTGGATTTAGTAAATTAATTTAGATAGCAACCATAATGTGTCTTACCTGAGATAATAATACAGTATGAACAAAATATGCGTACACCGTAAAACGAGGACGGAATATGTTTAAAATAAAGAACGAACGAGGAACGTCCAACGTCGGGCACGATATTATTTTACTACAACAAAATCAAGTTCAAGAGCAATGTGTTATGCTGTTATATGAGGGATCGCGGATAATAAATAATATAATTCTTTATAACATTAAATGCCAAATTGGAAATTCGGAATACCATTTATACAGTACATACCAGTGACCAACAGGGCATAGAAATAAGGTTGGTTCATGAGTTGTTTACACTTGAGACAGTTTGACCAAATTAAGAATATAATAGTTTATTTCAATTTTCGGGATCTGGACATTCTTTTAAGTAATTTACAGGTTTCTTTTCATAATTTCTAGTAATTTAAATATTGAGATCATGTTTTATAAATAAAAAATTATGTACTTCCTATAAATTAGAGGAGTGAGGACACTATATAGAACGCTACACCCCATATAGAAAATGCTAATATAAACATTCAGTCAACTTTTCATGTACCTACGGTCATTCGTTTTAGAGTTGCACTAAAAACCAAAATCGATTTTCTCGAAATAATAATTTAGGAAGTAAAAATTCCCGTTTTTCCTTAATTTTTCTTTTGTTTTTCAGGTCGCTTTTGAAAACTACTGGGAAATTTTTACTTTTGACCCCCCAAAGTACCAACTGGATTCACTTTCCTGTCAGAAAAGATACTGTTGAAGAAAATTTAAACATTTTGATTGTCCTAAAAGGTGATAACAGACACAAAGCAAAAAATTTTAAAATTTAAAAAAAAAGACACATCATTTAAAAACATTCATCGCTCCTCTCAGAATCTAAAAGGTGGACGAATGAGTTATGAGTACCACTGTTCAGTAGTTGTCAAGCATGTCGCTGTAATGATTGTGTTATATTTGAATTCAATGAGAAACCATTGTATACGAAAAACGATTCTGAACAGAAACAGTGTGTTAACCCTTTCGTACTTGTATAAATAGCGTAACTTTCTGGTGTACTTTTTCTTTTTGATAGAAGTCGTAAAACTTGATACGAAACTTCTATTAAAATGTATAATGTGAGCAATGAAAAAATAACTTGAAAATATTCTCATGGCTACAAATAGCTCAAAAAGAGATTGTTTGAAAATGTTACCATGTATAGAATCTACAAATATAAATATTTAGTGGAACATTTCAACACATATTATATTCATTATTCGTTCTATCAGTAAGTCATTAGTTTTGGAAATACAACAAAATCTCAAGAATCGATTAATGATATTTCGATAATTTACCGTTGACGATTAAATATCATTTATTATTACAGACTACAGTAAAACCTAGCTAAAACGGAACTTCGGTAAGACGGAAACCCCGGTATTACGGAACATTTTTTGGTCCCGTTTCAAATTACAATAGTAACATATAATTTTATCCCGCTAAAGACGGAAACCTCAACAAGCCGGAAACGGACACATTTTTGTAATGAAAGTTGATGAAAATCCTGGCTAAGACGGAAATATAACATGATTTTCGTGTAATATTTATTTTAGTATTGTCGATACCCATAGATAATCGATATACGAGCCCGTACGATGACATTAAAAACTAATAAAATTGATATATATATATATATATAATATATACATTATACACTTTTTTTTTATATACAATGAAGAACCAGAAAATATGGTAAAAGATAACAAAACTGCTATCTGCTACCTCGAGGAAATACAAACAATTTCCCTCACAGTGTCCAATAGTACTTTTGGAATTGACCTTTTTTCAAAAAAATAATTATGTACCTACATATTAATATTTAATGTATAGGTACTGGCTAAAAATAAATATGTATTAAATAAATATAAATATAAAATTAAGTTAAAAATATAAATTGTATATGTATTATTTATGAACCGGTTTAAAATAAATATGTAATCTTCAATTTAATTCAATTAAATTTTTTGAACCCCGCCAAGACGGAAACCCCGTTAACACGGAAAAATTTCATGGTCCCATGCAGTTTGGACATAATATGGACTCTCGTGGGCCGGAGTATAGGTACTCTACTATAAAAATACCATAATCATCTAGGCATTTAGCTATAAACAATATTTAATTTTGTTCCCCGTATCGGCCGTATCATTGGGAATATTGAGATTCATTTTTAGATTATAGAGTTATATAATACGCTTTTATAGTTTTTTATTTATTTTTTCAAAATGTGGTGTTTTTAACGCCGATTTCGAAACGGTTTGAATATTTTTGGGGAAACCATTATTTTGCAAGTTATAGTCATCTAAAGTTTGCGATTTTACATTTACACGCATGTGTGCAATGCTGCTTTAATGCAGTGCGGAGGAACTCGTGTTTGGTGTTTTTTCGAATTTTTTCTCCGAACACAGCGCTGCGAGCTACTGGCAACGTTAGCTGATTATGTTCTTTTTACCAATTTTGTTTAATTCCGAGGCTTACCCAAGGTGGTTTTATACAGCAAATAGGGGGATACTTTCGATTTTTTGGTCCGAGCGATATTCAATTATAAGTATTTTTTTTTAAATGCGACATGCGCGTTATATGAAAAAATTTAGTTTTTAAAGTTTTTTTATCAATAACTTCAAGACGAAGTTTGTTCGGGCTTTTTTTTTACATTCTTAAAAAGCTACCTTAAATACACATTTTGAAAAAAAAAATTTTAAAAATCGAAGAGTTGCTAAACCAGAATCGTTCCCAAATCCGTACTAATATTACTATTATTATATAGTTTTGTATTGTATTGTTATGTTATAAAAATAAAATTTCGCTTGAATCTTATTTTTGGGGGCCCTTATTCAAATTACTTCCCGGTAAAAAAATATAAGCCTATCCGCCACGCCACTGGTCACATGCGATTCCGCATTATCGAGGTTTTACTGTATATAACTCAAACACTAATAAAAATGAATGTTCCGTTTAAGTAAACTTTTTTTTTGTTAGTAAAAAAACCGCAATATAATTTTTAGAAAAAGTTGGTGGTAAAAACGTTTATGTAAGTCAATGAGTTTATTTTTTACGATTTTAGATTCAGCGGGGCCACGAAGCTTTGATTTTAGTATTTTACAATGTGTGTTTTGGGGCAGTAAAAATGATTCAATTTTCTACTTTTGTAGAAACTTAAAAACTTATAACTATAAGTACTTAAAATTTTCACCAAATGTTTTTATAATCATTTCCTATACACAATAACTTTATAAAATTATTTTGACGCTTTTTGAGCTATTTTTAGTTACAAGAAAATTTTCGATATTTTTTTCAATTATTGTGAATTAATAATTTTTCACTTAATCAAAATACTTGAAAATGTAATAGAAGATTCCTCACAAGTTTTTATAGCACCTCAAAAATATTAAAGATAGGCATGATTTTATTTTTATTAGCATTTCAGCTTCAAACGTTGACAAAATTGGTCAGAATTACAAACACATTACACATGTATATTATTTCTACTTGGTTAAACATTTATAAAATATTCAATTTTTTTAGTTATTAGGTATGAAATTTTAATACAAGGTTACTTGTAAGTAGTTCATATTGGAACCAAAAAATCAAAAAATATATGGCTACAATTTTTTGCATAGATAATCCAGATTTATTATTGGACTGAATTAGATATTCTAACAAAGAATAATGATTTTATTTATTTTGTTGTAAATAATTTAAAAATAATATTTTTCATGTGGGCTTGAAACTTTTAAACTGTACTATTATGATATATAAACATAATGAGATACCTATTCAAATTCAATGTTTTCAATAAAGGTTCACTATTTGTTTCCCTCTCTAACCAACATACCAAATTTGCATTTAATAAAACCAATCTTGTGTAGTTGAGTTGTTATAGCTTTAATATTTGAGTGAATTGACCTATTATCAAAAAAGTTGAGAACATTATGAGTATTAATTGTATATTGGTATAATTACGATGTTACAATTATTCTGCAATATTTGACCATTTTTAAATATTATAAATCAATAAATCATATACACACATACTTGAATAACAATTTTAATATTGTACGACTGCCAACATGTAATAAAAAATTTGTAGCTGTTTGTTAGATACCATGTACCAGCAAACATGTATAAAATATATAATTTTTTAGTCATTTAGTTTTTAATGCCAAAAATATAAATGTTATAAAATTGGTATTTTACAAATTAAGTTTGATAAATTTAGTTCTAATTATTGCAGAAAATATTTAATTACAGAAATGATTTACTATACTTATACCAACATATAAAATGTATTATTTTGGAGTATAATACATAGCATCTATAAAATATCTTGTGATGTCACCAACTATAGTTCTATCAGGCAATGTAGCGGACATTCCATACATAGCCATCTATAAATCACAATACTCAATATTAAAAAAAACTCTTATTTGATTAAATAACTTATTATTTACTTTTCCAGTGAGTTCAACATTAGGAGTTTTTAATATTTCAATTAGTTCTTGTCTTAAATCTTCGATAAATAATGAGGCTACACCGGGTTTTGTATGTAAATGTGTAATACAAATATGAATCCTATAAATAATTAAGTAGATTATTATACAGTATAATCATTTATTGGATAGATTACATTGGATTGAATTGTAAGTTGTTTAACAAGCTAAGACTCTGAAAGACTTAAAAGTTTGAATTGTTCCAACTAATATTTATTTAGGTTAATATAAACTCTGTCAAAGAAATCAAAATTAAATCCAACGTATCTGGCCAAGAAATTTCGTGTAATCTCAAAAACATTATCATACTATATTATAAACATATTTTAAACTAATGTTTTATGTATTTATATGATTTATTGTGATTAATTAGCCTTACCCAATTGGAAATTGTAAAGTGTTTAAATTCCAACCTCTTGAATTTAATGCATCAGATAGTCGATAAATATTAAAATCATCAGAACCTATTGCTATCACAGACGTAGTAGGCTTTCCAAAGATAAAAATACCTTTCATACTACGTAATCTATAGATAAAAAAAATAATTAATATTTTTAGCTATTAATTTCTGTACATTAAAGTTTACAACTCCTTAAATCATTCAAAATCAAGGGTCGCCATCTGTTTCCAACAACTTAGCTACATTAAAAAATTAAATATCTGGTGGTCAATTACTATTTATATTATTATTATTATTATATGCAGCATAATAACAAATTGTATGTTTTTCTTCGCAAATAAATAATTTAGGTACTTTGTATATAAAGCGTAAAAGTGTGTTTAAGATTACGCACGGTATCAACCGATATTGGTATAATTAATTTTGAATACAATCGAACAACAGTCATCTAAAGATGACGCCTGTTCTAAATTATAATAACATAATCATTTTTAATGTTGATAAGAATAACCTTGCGGCTGATCGTTAACTCTTTAAAAGTTTGAAGGTACATAATCAGTAAAATCAACATTATTATAAAATTACAAGTTGTAAACTAAACGTTAAAACATATTTGATCAAATTAAATAAATCATAACACATGTTATAATTTAATCTCAATTCAAAATTTGAATTTGCATGAAAGTACTAGATATTGACCAACTATTTTTAAGTTATGTGAAAAAAACATATTATTTCATTTTTGCTTCTAAAACATTAAAATAAGTAAGAAGGTACTATAGGAATAAAACTTTAAAAGTAAATTAAATGTTTGTGCAAATGCAATCATTTTGTGGTTGACAATATGATATAGAAGTAATCTAGAAATGATCTAAAATCATTAGGTAATAGATAGATACAATTAGAAGAAAACATTCTACCATAAGAGGAACATATGTGATATCAATAATCAAATGATTCTAAAAAGTGATTGTCCATAGAAATGGTATAAATATTGAATAATTACAAAAATTAGTTACATATTTTTATTTTTTAACTTACTGTTCTTCGATAAATATTTTAGTGTCCATTACTTCCTTTGTTGAAGTAATATAGCCATTCATACCAAAATACATTAATGTGGCCCAGCATGCAGCAATTATACCTAATAAATTACACTGTTATAAATAATTTAGAAATAAAGTTATTCACATATTTCAAAAATGTTTTTTATATAGATAAATATAATTACCCCCAGACCTTGATCCGCTAACAGTTGGTGAACCATAATGCCCACCAGGCCATTCAGTGCATACATAATATTGGTTATGTCTATATTTTTTATCAGAATACAATATAACTGATGAACCTTTAGGTGCATATCCATACTAATGTGTGATTTAAGATGATGCAATTTAAAATAATTTTATTTAGAACAACATTATTTTGTTTTAAAATAGATAATTATAACTTTAAAAATAAATACCTTATGTGTATCAGCAGATATACTTGTAACGCCTGGCAAAATAAAATCAAAAGGAGGTAATGGAAAACCAGCTTGTGGCATAAATGCTGCTATGAAACCACCTAAACAACAATCGACGTGGACTGGAATATTATATTTAAGACCCAAAGCTGATATTGCTTCTATATCATCTGATGTTCCATATGGAAAATTAGGAAATGATCCAACTAGCTGTAAGTATAGTATAAAGTTATGTACGATTATTAATAATATATTTTATGTTAATTACTTTTATATAAATATTATAGAATAAAACATTTAGTTAAAATTTAAAATATTCAAAAAGCATATTGAATAACAATCTATTTAAAAAATGTTTGTGCTAAATATTATATTTATTAAAAATCATTGTACACTTGTGAGTTTTAATAAGGTGATCTACCAAATATTTTAAATCTTATATTTTATTGAAAAACTTTATTATAGGTACAGATTATACATTGAAATACCTATAAATTAATGAAAATGTATTAATATATTCTTAATTTAAACTTTGAAGTGATGCAATTTCTTTACAACAATTTGTGTATTAGACTATAGTAAAATATATCTCTATTTTTTTCATTTTAAACTATTTCATACAGGAATCTATTAATTTCATGAGTTACGAGTGTTATATAAATGCATTATATACTTCATAGATAATATAAATAAGAAAGTAAAATGTAAGTATTTATGATTTGAGATTTGAACTCAAGTTTAATTTGATCAAATTATACAACATTTTAAAAAATTGTACTCAGAACTTTTATAATGAACAAAGGTTGGAAATATTTTTCTGAGTACGATTATTGTTTTGTAAGATATAAGCAAGCACTGCTCAATTATTCAACATGCTTAGGCAATTCTTAATTTATTTTTTACTTTATTCTCTTTGAGAATTAAACCGGATGGCCAATATTTGTTCAGGGATGGCAGATGGTAAGGGAAGAAAGACAGTTATTATCTGACACCTGCCCTAGTTGCCTCTTATTTCAAACAGACTATACTAAACTGTAACAGTGTAATCTATCCATGTTTCTAGATTTATTATAAATCAAAACTCTAAATGTTATTCTTGTTTAGTTGCTTCACCTACGAGCGGCGTAGCCAGGAATTTTGTATTGGGGGGGGAGGGGGGAGGGGGCTAAGTATACAAATACAATATGTCTTTTATTTATACTATTTATTTTTTTATTAATCTTGATAAAATTCTAAGATCAACACGATCAATGGAGCACCCTTAACCACCCCCCTGCACCTACTCATAAGTCAGTTAAGTTAAGAAACTTTCATTCACAATTTTTTTAATTTCTATGTTAACATTTTTAATATTTTTTTTTTGAAAATATGTAACAAAACATAATTAGCTCACCAGTAATGTATTCTTAGTTATTGCATTTTCCATTTTTTTTAAATTTACTGTATAAGTATCAGGATGTAAACTAATGTGAATAATTTTAATACCAAAATAAGAAGCAGCTTTATCAAATGCAGGGTGTGCTGATCGTGGAACTATTATTTCACCCTTTTTAATACCACATTCATTTCTTCCAAAATCTCTATAAGCTTTACATGCCATTACAATTGACTCTGTTCCACCACTTGTCATCTTAAATCAAAAAAAAAAAAAAGTTATTAATTACTATATTTTGTTTCTTTTGTAATAACTTACTGTTCCACAACCATTTGAATCTCCATGAAATAGATTTACAACTAAACGTACAACTTCTGCTTCCATCTTACAAATTCCTGGAAATATATCTGAGTGTAGAGGATTTGTGTATGAAGCAAGTCCATATACTTCAGTGAGTAACTTAATTAATTCTTCGTCATAATAATATATAGCACCAGAAATAAACCCCTCTTTCCAATTGTATTTACCTAAAAAAGGTAAATTTTAGAAATAATGTATGTTAATTTAGTAAAAAAATACTATATCTTACCAAGATTTAAATACCTATTTACAGTTTTAATTAATTCATCTCGAGAAATTCCTTGTGATGGGAGTTCAACAACATATTTTTCACTCTTAGTATTTTCGATAACTTCATTTTCAAATAAGTCTGAAATTTTCTTAGTTTCTTCTTCAACTTGTTTTTTGAATTTTGGTATTTTTTTAATTTGGGTAAATGTAAATTTTTTTAATCTGTTATACAAACCTATAAATGTAACCAGAAATTAGTTATGATTAATTAATTAGTGGGTAAATGTATTGTAACCAGATTATACCAAAATATTAGAAGTATTTTTGTCACATACGTGGCATTGAATAATTAGATAACCATTTATACAATATTAAATACAGCTCGAATGTTTTTAGAGCATTTTAGAAAATGTTTTCTACCACATTGTAATGGGCAATAGGTAAATAAACAAGGCAATTCAGTAAAAATTTACGTTATTACTTGGTATTAAAAATTCCATACTATAATACAAAATAATGATCATATTTACAGAATCCCCTCATATTCACTAATATATAATATTGAACCTGCATAATATTATATATCAACAAATTTTATATGCCCGATATCCCTACCTCAAAATTTAACAGTATGCATGAATCTTAAAACACACCAGCATTACGTTTCATTATATTGTAAATTGAATTTCAAATGAAGTGAATAAATTATCCGCAGAAATTGACGTTGTAACCTCACTTCAAACCAACTCAAAAATAAAATCCAGCAAATATCACTACTCCTAGTATATTTCTTGACTATATTTCTATCACTGTTTACTTATACCATATTACCTACTTGTAATTTTAATTTACATTTATATTTAATTCCATGTGTTATATTTTATATATTTACTAAAAGTGTGTTTACTCGTTGTTCAATAAATAAATACATTATAACAACAGAAAATACAAAATAAAGATATGATACAATATTTAAAATATAAGATTTGATATTGGATACAAGCAAACATTAGTCATTACTACAATAGGAAATAGAATAAGAATAATATAAAAAAATTCTCACAACCCACTGGAAACATTCTGTACAATTATTGATATTTTCTAAAGAATATAAATTGAAAATCTAATTTGTATGTATTATTTGATTCTTTCTTATTAAATAAATAAAAATAATAAATTCTAATCTTAAAAAATTATTATACCTATTTGTTTGTTTTTTTAATTAAGAAGACGTGATACCAGCATGTGTTGTCACTTGTCTCCGTCTTACAAGTGCATAACATAGCCAATTTTCAGCAAAACACGTGTAGCTCCGTTAATTTAAAAATTAAAGCAAATTAACCACTTATAAAATCTAAAGGTGAAATTATTATCTAGACAACCTCATGGTCTTTTTATAATATTTTAATTTTTAAGCTATAGTTATGAGTACTTTAAAATCCATACACAATTTACAATTTTAAAATACTCATCACTAGCTTAAAAATTTAAATATAATAAAAAGTCCATGAGGTTGTCTAGATAATAATCTTACCTTTAGATTTCATAAGAGGTCAATTAACTCTAATTTTTAAACTAACGGAGATACATGTGTTCTGCTTTGCGTAGAATTTGCTATATTTAGCACTTGTAAGACGGAGACAACACATGCGGGTATCACGTCCTCTTAAGTGGCAACAACAATAATTTTTAGGGTTTTTTTTTTTGTATATGATTAAATTATATTTTTTTACACTTAATTTATAAGTCTAAAGGTAATAGTTCTATTTTTATTGGGTAGGTATTTAATTTAGACATATCTAAGAACAATGACATTTTTTTTGTTAAGAGCTTTAAAGTCCAAGTTAGTCCACTTTTTGTGGATATGCTAGGTTACCCATTGTTTTACAACTTTAAGTACAACTTTTATTTTGATTGTCTAATTTACAATAAAAAAAACTTGCTTTCATCTTGAAATAAAAAATTCCATAGCCAATAGATGTTAATACACTGGATGCTGTGATAGAAGCAAATTGCCAAGGTTCACGTTGCCCAAATAAATATAACTGAATTTTTGCTTAATAAAATGCCATTTTTAACCAAATCCATATTTAAATCAGGTGTGTGAATGATCTAAAAAAATAAAAAATAAATTATTTTTTATTGTAATTCCTTTATAATTCCAATATCTTGATTAATTTATTCATCAATTCTGAAGCATTAATACTATAGTAATTGATAAAATAAAATTACAAGGTAGTTTAAGTAATTATGTATTGTGTAGTGTTGCATGTTTTTTTTTTAAACATGCAATCGTGGTGAGTTTTTATTAATTTTGTAAAAAGTCACGAGTAAACAGTAATCTTTTTATTCAATATAACGTTATGAAACTAAAAATACTCACTTCGTATGATATATTTGATGACTGTAGTGTATTTATCTATTTGTTAATTATTTTGTACTAGAGTACAACGCATCATCATCGAACCATAATATTATATTACGATATAGACCATAGACATACAACGATGTTTTTTTTTATTATTATATTACTAATTCGTTGTTTAATGTAATCACTGAACATTCAAATTCATGCCCGGCGCAATCGCAATAGGTAATTTATGGCATTTCCGCGACGATTGTAAAAATACATTTACATACGACATACATAATATTATTAAGTATATACACGTTATATGTCATGTATTGTCAACATAATAAAACATTCATTTTGCCATTTAAGATTTTACGTGTTCGAACCGTCAATCGTCATGTATGCGCAAGGATCTATGTGTATGGGTATGGGTATTGGTCGCGGGTACAAAAATCGAAGAGGGAAGAAGAATCAAGGGGAAAGTGGCAGGAAATGGCTTGTAAGCCGCCAGTACTCAGTAGTGTAGTACGGCCGTACGGGTGTACCGTGTACACGGCACTTAACAATAACGGTGAGTCGGTCGAGGTGATCTGAGGACTAAGATGACTCATCCTCTATTCTGTGTTTTGTGTAAACTGTGTACACTGTATAGTGTTTACTGTGTAAACACATAAGTGTAACATATTATATTATAATAATTATTATCTTTAGAAAACCGAACACCTTTAGGCAATAAGCAATAATATTATGGTCTGTCCGCTATCGGTCTTCGGAGTACTATTAACTTAACTGTTGTCTACTTGTCTGTAACAGGCTAAACAGACGTCACAGTTATAGTTTACTATATAATATACCATAGTAAACTATATAATATACTATACTTTAGTAGTTAGTACAATAGTACCTACTATACCTACTTTATATAGCTACGTTTTTTTGCGACCCATGTTGTGCACCTGCGCAACACACCACTACCACCTCTACCAATCCCCACCACAGCACCATATACAGACATTGCAGAGTGCAGACCTTATATTATAATGTAATATATTTATATATTATTTGTTTTCAATGGTCTACAAAGGCGTTTTGATCCTATAGGAAAGAAAAATATGACCTTGAAAAGATAATACGCCAGTGTAGCCATATCCATGCATCCTCTCGTTCTCAAATTACCTATAGGGTGCTTATATTATATTTATGCATTATCAAAACTCGCAATCAATTCATGATAACAGGTAAAAATCGGGACATAGTAATAATAATAATAAATAAGTAAATAATAATAGATATTAGATGTTTAACATAGCATTAAGTTGTTGAGTAATGAGCACGGATTAATCCGTGGTAATGAGTAATGACAATTTTCTATGCTAATGAATAATGATGAGTAGTTGAGTGTACTGTGTAGTAAGTAGTGTTTTCAATACAACAATTTGTTATAAATACTTCATAAAATGTAATTCATTCTTGAAAATACTAAAACGATTATGGAATGCATAATTAAACTATTTTATTATTGTATTATTATTTACACCACAACAAACTTAATCTAAGTATTGTAGTATTACAGTTTATTAAACATTTTAGTCTGTTGATCGGTGACTAATCAACTAGCAAACTTTTTGTATTAGAAATAAATATATTAATTATGTGAAGTAAATTTATGTAAAACATTTAATACGGTTTTGTACAACTGTATATCTTACCAACAACATTGCTCAATCTCATAATGGCCAATACTGGTGTATTGCCTTTTGTACGAGGTATAGATTTCAGTAACAATGATTTTAAAGTAAGTATAATCTATTGTTTTATTGCATTATTAACATTCATATATACAGTATAGCTGGTTTTCGCTGTGGTATCTATTATTAAAATGGGAAATAATATATTAATTTTGTGTAAGTATCCCTATGATATTTAAAATTGCTAACTACGCACTCGTTTTTAATTTTATCTGCGATCTATAAATAAAAAATTAAGTTTATACACAGGGACAGGGGTTTATTCAGGGCCGTATTTACACTTTTTGCTCCCTGGGTTAACAATATTTGTACGCACTCCCCCCAAAAAAAAATTAAAATTTATCCGTTTTTTAATTGTTTAGTTCTTTATTTATGAAAATGTTGTTAAAAACACAGATCCCATTGATACATTAGTTTAATTATTGTCAAAACGTATAACAACATACAATTGAAATTTATATAAAAAATTAATAGTTATCATCGATTGACAAAATGAGTAAATAACGCCAAATGGCCGTATCATAGGAATGCAATGCAAAGAGTACAAGTAGGTATAGGTACTCAAACAAATTTTTACCAAAAAAAAAAAACTTTAATTATATAATATAGACCGGCGCCTGGCCGCCCCCTTAAATGTGTCAAAAATTAGCCGGCCGGGGCAAATGTCCCCGTTGCCCCCCCCCTTAAATACGGTCCTGGGTTTATTGGAGAGATTTATAAAAAAAATGTGTGTATGTAGAAAAAAATATTTGTATAATCATATTATATTGTCTTTGTGCATAAATATGGGATCTTAACTATGTTCAACGATTGTACAACAATTGACAAAACAGTTTCTCTATAAAATCTTTCCCAGTGGCACTAAATCTAATACCTAAGAGGGGTTACCCCACACCCTTTTTTTGTGGGGGGGGGATCTGTGGATATCTCCCTGAAACAATAAAATAAGTATTTATGGTTAGCATAAATTTAAAAGGTATTTAGCCGAGTATTGTACAAAAGGTGGTTGAGAATTAGAAATAATTTTTGCCCACCCCAATTTAATATTAGTTAATACTAAGCTGTACTAGTTTTATTACTGTGATTAAAAATTAACTTTTTAGACATCAAAATTTCCTACTGCTGTTATGTCAATGTCAAGTGTTCAATGGCTGAACTTAAACAGGGTAAAATTACATGTAATCCCAGAAGAAATTGGAAAACTTGGAAAATTAGTAAGTATTTCTATAATATTTATGTTTTTTTTACTTTATACTTTGTTATATAGAAAATACTACAGCGCAACAACAACTATCGTGTGTTTCATACTTTCTAATAAAAATAGATTATTTAATATCAATATTTTTTAAATTTTTTCCTAAATTTTTTGGTTTATCAGTAGTTGCTCAATACCGGTAGATTCTTTTATCATTGGGCACTCATTATTTCAAAAAGTACAAATGTTTTTGAAAAAGAATTTTACATGATTTCTAGTTAAATATATTTATATTTTTTAAGTTATTTACTTTTTTGAATGACAACATACAATTTTAATTTCATATTCCAAAGCAGAATATTTTTCTAATTATTTCAATACATAAAAATAGTTTGAGAACCTCTAAAATGCTAATTTTTAAAAATCCTTTTTAAGGGCCTCTATATCAAAAAAACAAAATAACTGATCAAATTTCATTTCCAGCTGTTCTGGCTAGGACGAATCAAACAGTTAGATAGGACAAATTTGTTTATATATTATAATATATAGATTATAGAAAACAACTATGCACATAATTGCTAAAAGTTTTAAGTCCCTAAATTTAATTTTTTTGGAATTACTACAAAATAAACTAAAATCATTATTTTTTGTTAAAATATCTAATTTTTCGTCAAAGTTTGGACAATACCTAAATTATCAACATAAATCAAATAAAATTTTGATTAAATTAGATTTTTTAGTTACACTATAAAAAACCTTGTTTTAGATTTCAAATCTTAGATATAAATTTAATAAAAACATTTTTAATAAATAGCTTAGAAATTTTAATATTTAGTAATTAATTTGTATTTACTATAGGAACATTTATCAATTGCACATAATAATATTGAAAGATTGTACGGAGCACTTACGGAACTATGTTCATTAAGGTCATTAATTGCTCGTCATAATTGCATTAAAAGTTCTGGTATACCTCAAGAACTCTTTTGTAACAATCAAACTACAACTGAATTGACAACATTGGATTTAAGCCATAACCGATTAACCAGAATACCAGATGGTTTAGAATCATCTTCAAGTCTACTAGTGCTAAATCTATCTCATAATAGGTAATATTTATTTATTTTAAATAATATACACACAGGCAAATTTGTTGAGTATCGGCTATGGGGCTATGTGCGAAATGTTATTGGTGGCCCTATTTAGTGGGTGTTAAGTGTTACTTTGGGGGCCTCAGAAGCAGTTAGATTTCAAATGAATTATGGAACCGATAATTTTGATATAATATCTATTCCATTAATTAATGTTTATGAGGCCTTAGGATCAGTTGGCCATAATACGAAGTCTGGTCCTGATTTCTTATTTTCTATTTTATTTTTAAAATGCCACAATGCACTTGCACGTCCAGTTAATTTTTGTTTTAGGACTAAAATAAATATTTTCTTTAATTTCCGTATATTTTAAGGTACTTAATTTATTTTGATATTATTATTACATTTGGTTGATTTAATTTTTACTGAAAACAATGCATTTATAATAGCATATATTATAAACATCTTATTAAAACAGGAATGGAGTTATGGATAAAGAAACTTGAAGGATTAAGATTTTAGAAATCCAAATTTTTGATAAAACTATTTAATAAATATTTGGGAGAAGTATGAGAAATGGGAAGTTGGTAACATTATTTAGATCTAGTGGCAGTTTATTAGTTTTTATAATGTTTGGTTGTTACTTGTGAGAGAGTGTGTAGTTAAGACAAGGACTGAAAACAGTTTTTAGACACATCACT